CAGCCCCTTAAAGATTCTTAGCCTTTCGCGTTAATCTTTGGTAATGTTTTAATTTAACACATTTTAATTATGTGCAACATCTCATCCTAATTTTATTATGAGCTACCACGTTTTAGTAGTTACTTTAACCGTCTAAAGATAAATGCTTCCTTTCACTTGATCAAGCAGTGTGATGACGTAGCTTCTTTTGCAACAAAAGAGTAGATTATAAAGTCGACAAAAAGAATTCGGAAAAAATTGTCCAAAAGGTCCTAAACCTATTGCATTTTTGCCAATTTAATCATAAATCTTTTAATTTTACCAATTAATTCCTAAACTTTTTCACGTTTTACCAATTAAGTCCATCCAATCAATTTTGGTAGAAAATTATTGACGTGGTAGTCTAGTCAGCACCGGCCCTCCTACGTGGCATGGCCAGTGCTAGACAGCCGGTGCTGATGTGAACGTGGATAAAATTTAATAAATTTTAAATTTTTTTTTCTAATATTTTTATATTTATTGATTTTTTATTTTCTTTTTCTTTTCTTTTCTTTCTTTTTTTACTTGTCGAGGGGCCGCAAACCCTCGTGAGACACAGTGAGGGCGATGTGGCCCTCGATGTGGCTAGCAAGGGCCGTGACCATCATCCCCAGCCGGCAAGGGCTCCATGGCCCTCACCTAAGGGCCAGTGAGGCCGGCTGCCATTGCTGGCCCTTTGACCAAAAAAAGAAAAAGAAAAGAAAAGAAAAAGGGAAAATAAAAAAAAATCAATAAACAAATGAAATACCAAAAAATTATTAAAAAATTATCTACGTCAGTGCCGATCGTGCCACATAGGACGGCTGGCATTCACGTCAGCGATTTCCGGCCAAAATTGGCTGGATGGATTAATTGGCAAAATTTGAAAAGGTTTAGGACTCAATTGGCAAAATTAAAAGATTTAGAACTAAATCGGGAAAAACGCAATAAATTTAAGAATTTTTGGATAAAGATTCCAAAGAATTCAGTGATGAAAATTATAAAATGGTGAAAGGGTCCAAATCAGCCCTAAGTCTGACTCAACTTCATGACTAATTCATATGCATTTCATCGCATTGGTATGCTAAATCCACAAGACAACTATTACTACAAGAAGCAACCACGACTCTCGGACAATTCGATGCATCCGCTGATCCTGTCAAAGCAAGCATCTTATGAGATATGCTCAATAAAAAAACGAGCATTTCATCGAGAATTGATAGAAAACATTTGTTGAAAAAGAAAAGGAATTGTCTTGTAAGGATAAAGCTAAAGCAACCTCTCAAGTCATTGACAGGTAGGGGTGTCAATGGATCGGGTCGGGTCGGGTTTTCATGATACCCAACCTGACCCGAAACAATGAATATGTGTGCTTGGCCCGACCCGAAACAAGACCCGAACATGATATAGCCGCATGATCGGGTCGGTTCGGTTCGGGTCGTGTTTTAGATTTTTATTATAAATTAAGGTTAAGTTACATCTAGGGGTGTCAATGGGTCGGGTTGGGTCTAGTCTCCACGCTACCCGACTCGGCCCGAATCATAAAAGATATATGGACTCTTGACCCGAACCAAACATGACTTGAAATACAAAACCGGGTTGGGCCGGGTCGAGTTGCTGAGACGATGCACGACAACCACCGCCGCCGCTAGAATCTCTCTCTCTCTCGCGCAGCGCATTTGCTTTCAATGGCGGTCCATCCTCACGAGCAGGTGAAGTCGCGCTTCGTCGCTCCATCCCGCGTCTCCCACCACATTGTCTGTATTTTGCAGCATTGCGTTGTATTCGCGGCTGAGCTTGATCTTGATCTTGATCGAACGATTCGACGGTTCTTTTTCTGGGGATTTCCGCTCATTCTGTGCGTACCCTTTGAAGTTGTGATGATATATAGTGTTGGGTGTTGAAAGAATTTGACAAAAGGCCTGAACTTTGTCGTTGTTTTGGTAAAATTTGAAGTCTTGATGTTTGTGCGAGAGGCTTGAGGGGGGTGCGCGTGCTTGACTGAGCTTGAAAATGGGAAGATGCAAAGTGGAAATTTTGGCGGAGAAATTTGTTGCCAACACTGTCAGCTAGGTAATTTAGCGTCAGACACATCATGTAAGGAGGACGAAGTTGAACGACAGTGCTACAAAGTGAAATGTGTTTCGATTTTAAAAATAAAAAATAAAAAATAAAAAAATATGTGTTTCGGTTCGGTTCGTGTTCTAAACACGAACCGAACCGAAACGATTGAGATACCCATTTGCTTAGCTAATACCCGAACATGAAGTTGACCCAACCCGAAAATACCCAAAACTTCGGATCGGGTTGGGTCGGTTCGTGTTTCGGTTCGGGTATATTGTTTGGTTTTGACACCCCTATTGACAGGTACCAGTTCATGACACAAAGCAATTAGCATGTTAAAGAGGCAAAGCAAAAGTCTAAAGGTAAATTGAGAGTTGGAATAGGACATATAAAAAAAAAAAACAAAAAACCAGCGCCCCGGGAGCAAATCCTAAGTAATGAGAGCTTAAAGCGTGAGCCCAATTGAATATTTTCTGGGTCAATGTCAAAGAGGAACAACGACAACACAAGCCCCCCACCAAGGCCCATCCCAACCTACGAGGTGATATACTCCCTCGTAGGCGCAATCAAATCCGACAACTATGGTTTGCAAGAACTTACGATTTGTATCGTCATCTAATGCATATCGTGTGTCTGTGTACGTATGTGTGATTTCGAATTAGTAACTTAGGGCGAGAATGACAACCATTCTGTTTCAGAAATCAATTTCTGGCCAGATTTTCTATTTCTGTTTTATGAATGAATTTCTGAGCAAAAATACATATTTGATAACGACACAAAATTTCTGTTCCTAAAACAAAAATTTATTTGATAACGACACAAAATTTCTCCCTCTTAGGTGGCCGGCGAGTGGACGACGGGCGGATGGCAACGGCAGACGGTGATAGCGAACGGCGGGTGGCGGACGGCGGGGGGAGGCGGCGGCAAACGGCAACGCGGCCAGTGCGGAGGACGGCGGCTGGCGTCGGGCAGCGAAGGGAGGCGGGCGACAACCGACGGCGGCGGGAGGAGGGCGGACTGTGGTAACGAACAGGGGGCAGTGAATGGTGCGGGGAGGCGGCGGCAAACGACGACACGGCTAGTGCGAAGGATGGCGGCTAGAGGCGATCAACGTCAGGCAGCAGCAGGAGGCAAGCGACAGCCGGGGGCGGGAGACGGTGGCCGGCGAACGGCCGCCCACAATGGGCAGCAACAGGAGGAGGGCGGCGGCAGCAGGAGGTGGGCGGCGACAACGGGAGGAGAGCAGCCGGCGGACAACGGCCCACAATGGCCGGCGGCAGGAGACGACTAACGATGGGAGGCGTCGGCTGGCAAGTGGGCAGCGATGGGCAGTGAATGGATGACCGGCTAGTAGAAAGGGCGAGTGATAATTTTTACTTCTCATTTTTATTCCAGAAATAGAAAAATAGAAAATTTTCAATTCTCATTTCTGTTCCAAATTTATTTCTGAAATCAAAATTTATTCTAGAAATTGAAAAATGAAATTGCGTTACCAAACGGATTTATATTCCAAACTTGCTTTTGAAACCGAAAAATAGAAACAAAATGGTTATCATTCGCAGCCTTAGTACACAAAGTGTTGTTAGTACCATATCAAGCGTGCGATTTATTTACCATTACACGAATATTATCAGGGTGACAATAGAGGACGTTCATATCAGGCTGACAACATCGGCGTAAGACCCAAAGCTTTGGACAACGCGGTGAACTTACCAGTACATGAATATGGCTTCCCAATGTTGAACAGGAAAAAGAAACATCGTCTGATTAGCAGTCCCGACTGACGCAAAACTCGAAATCGTCAAGATACTCCTTCGCAAAAAACTTGCTCGGCTTGGCAATGAGATGAGAGGATAATCGGCCAAAATTCGAAATATTATCCAAATTATATTAGTAAAGAATATAGGTGAATTTACGTGTCAATATTCATATATTGGGAAGGTTTCGAAAATCTATTATCAAAAAGAAAAATTCAACGTGGATGCGTCACAAAATTTGAACTTAAATAAAAATCGAAACGTAAATGTCTATCTAAACACATAATTTGATTTTGTGCACAGTATGCCGATTATGTCTGTGAGTGGATACAGGATGAATAATACGTGTACATTTGGCTGGTTTTAGTATTAAGGCTCTCTCTCTCACGAATCAACCAGTCGGTAGCGTGGTGAAGACTCGCGCCGAAACCCTCATGCGAAAGAGCAATCTTCACGTTAGTCACACTAATGAAGTTACGATGACATAGTTTTGCTTTTAAGATTCATGCTAATGCGTCGAATAATTATGAATCAAATCGAAAAGTCGGCAGGTATCGAAGATCAAAATCTATCGAGATCATCCACAGAGGTTCTGTCCTACACACGCCCTGCACATTCACTTGCAATTAGCCATCGTACGCGACTCTGAATCTTCTCTCCTCTCAGTCTCACAAATAGATCTCCTCTCACACCATCAGCTCTTGCCAGAGGCCCCAAAACAGAGCTTCGTATTTCCCTCTTGATCAAGAACAGCAACAAGAAGAAGGAAGGAAGGAGGAGGAGGAGGGTTAGCTCTTTGTCAGTTTTGGGATGGAGGGTATCGTTCTTTACAGGGCTCGTAACAGCTTGCCCGCCAAACAGCAAGTCCATATGGAGGAACACCAGCATGGACATGTTTTCGAGGTCGTTCGTGGAGGAAGGCGACGGGGAGGCCCTCAAGTGGGCCGCGTTAGAGAAGCTTCCCCGCCTTTGACCGCCTTAGGAAGGGCATACTCACCAATTCCCGCGGCGGTGGCGACTAGATCGACATCGGGGACCTCGGGATTCCCGACCAGAAGAACTTGGTCGACCGGCTGGTGAGAAGTTCCTGTTGAATCTCAAGAACAGAATAAGCAAGTAATTTTCCCTGAAATGAAGCTCTGCGTGTGTGAGAGAGAGGGACTTACAAGCTACAAGACCGTATGAAGAATACTTATATATCCTTTATATAGTGTAATATCAAATGTTAAAGAAGCGAGGCAACTTTATTTCAAGAAAAAAGAGCTGTGGTAGCATAATAAACTCCCCCTATATGATCTTCCTTATGATTAGCATTGACATTATTGCATGACTAATTCATATGCATTCTATCACATTGCTAATGCTAAATCCACACGAGGACTATTAGTGCAAGAATTGTCCACGACAGTGCCCGATAGCTCTTCGAACAATTCGGCGCGTTTGCCAGTCCTGTCAAAGCAAGCATTGCATGAGATATGCTCAGTAAAAAGAACCAAGCGTCTCATCGAGAATTAATAGGAAAAAATATATATATTAGGAAAATTGAACGAGTTGTCTTGTCAGATAAAGTCAAGGGTTAATACTAAGAAAAACCCTAAATTTATGTGTATGATACAAATGGTAATCAAGAAGTCAATTTGACTTGCAAGGTCAATTAGCAATCTACATACACAACCGCACAATTTACATCTATGGTCTTTTTCTTTTTCTTTTTTTTACTTTTTTTGGCCTAACTTTTTAACATAGAATTATCTCGCCTAAACTATATTGAGCGCACGACTTATTTACCATTTCGAGGTGGGGCTGAAGGAGATGGCGGTGATGAATTACCATTTCCAGGCGAGGCGGAAGATTTCAGAGGCGGCGGAGGGGGCGGCGCGGCTGGTGTGCCGAGCTCAACATTAGTGCAGTCTGCTCCCAAATTGCCTAAACACATCAAAACATGGTGTACGAAACGTACAGTTAGAATTACAATAACCCATGTCACTAGTTAGTAATCACCTGCATCTTTTCAGGCCATCCGTCTCTAACGGGGAACATCGAATGAACCAATCATAAGCACGGCATCGGATTATCTAACAGACAGTCGTCTCATCTTATTGTCGCAAGTCCTCGACAATACGAGGAAGTACTTGTTTTCCATATGAGTTTCGGATAGATTCAAAACACAATTACATGCCAATACGAATGTAAACAATGGACTTCGATAGAGAAACTCACATTTTTGGAAGCAAGGTAAGGTTTGCAAACCCCCCAAATTGACCGAGCCCTGGTTGCATTGGCACTCGTGACTAGTCCCGCTAGCCACACACACCCCATCTCCACACCACACAAGCAAGCAAGCTGCAATGGCAGCGACCCACACCCATTTTATTCTAGCTAGAGAGGAAAGCAATGAATTCTTGGAATGAATAGATTATGTGGCCGGACGTCAAAACCAAAAGGAGAAAACTCACGGAGGGATACATCAATTGGCGGCGGGATCAGCGGTGGAGGCGGGGGCGGAGGCAACGGAGGTTCGCCGCCGCATTGGTAATTGATGGTGCCTGTGTTGTTCCCGGAAATGTCATATTGCTTGTACAGAGTTACAGAACTTCTAAAGAAATTTGCACACTAAACCGCGGGACACACTCACCAAACATGGTTATACCTTAGTCCAAAGAGTGTTGGTTTTTGGTGATCTTATGTACATGCATGATGTAATATTTCCTTTGGCTTGTCCAATCGATTTTCTGTTTCCGAGTCTAAAAGAATGTGTCAAGAGACGCATTTGGACCGTTTGATCAGGCGGGACGACGAAGGATCCGGTACGAATGCACTATGATATGGAGAGAGAGAGAGAGAGAGAGAGAGAGAGACTCACAGTTAGGTATGATGCAGGAAGGCCAGAGCAACGGGAGCTTGGTCCACCCGGAGTTACAGTTGCACACGTACCCGGGCGGCAAGCCCAGCGTCTCCTGGCATGTCCCCATCCCGCAGTTCACCGTCTTACACGGGGCTTGTTCATCTGATCATTTGATTTTCGACATATCTAATTCAGTCAAACGGATAGTGCCCATTAAACACAAAAGAGAGTATGAGATTACCATGTCGGGATGACATCAACTGCGAAGACGTGGTGGGGGTGCAAATGCAGGTGAAGAAGAGGATGAAGATGATGAGCAGGCTATTCCCACCCTGGAGTCCCATGCTTCTGCTTCTTCCAGAGACTCTGCACAGCCGGTTGCTTCGATCCAATTTAAAGGAGAGCATTCATTCTTCAGTGAAATAGCACGTTCCTGGGGAACATCAATGCCTTTTCTCTTTCTCCTTCTCTTTCTTTGTTTTCTTATGGCTAGGGTTGTAGTACTTGAACTTTTGTGCTGAGGGAAAGATTTTCAGTCCGTAGGATTCTCGTAGCATGCTTTACGTGTCAAAAGTGAGTTTCGATTCGCATGTTGGGAAGAGGCGACTTAGGTAGTATCGCATGTGCCCGACAAAGACGGTTGGTGCATAGAGAGAGATGGGTGAACAGGGGCGGGACAAGCAATGGACTTGACAAAACAGGACGTTCATATCAGTGCGATCGCCACGGGTTGAGTTGGGACACAAAGCTCCGGATAGAACAGTGAACTTACCAATACAGGAATACTGACTTCTTTATTTGAACAGGAAAAGGATGGACTGTTTTGAAATTATCGGTCATGATAGAGTTACAACTCGAAATCTCACGCGATGATGCTTCTTCGCGAATGGCTCGCTCGACCAGGCAACGAGATGAGATGATACTGAAATATGTACGACGTTACAACAGGCCGACTTATTGATGCGGAAGCACAGCCCCACAATGCCAGGAAATAACCATTGAAACTTTTTTCCGGCTCTAGGAACGTCAAGAGGTCTCCCGAATTTCTCTCCCCCTGTTTTTCACAAAAAGAATGCGTTCAAGAATGTTTCTTTTTTCTACCAAACTTGGCTATCATACAGTTCGAATTTCCTGAACGACGAAACATTTCTGCCTGTATTTAGTGTCAAACTTGTTTGACAGTACAAGAAGTCTCTGTGCGAGGCACCATTTTGCCATAAGATTAACAAGAACTATAAAAACCACTGCTTATTATGATGTACCAGCCACAAATGTGGCACAAATTGGGTAATAGACCCCAATGTCCCAATTGTTTCAATCAGAGGCTAAAAGAACCACTCACTGTACCATGCCATCGCTCACCAATTCCTCTAATCCCCTCTTCAACCTCTCCGCAGCAGCTCTGCAGTCGCTCTCCACCAACCCTCCGAACGATATTCTGAGATTCCCGGGACACCCGCACGCGCTCCCGGGAATAGTCACGACCCCATGCTTATGAGCGAGCCAGCGGACGACGTCAAAGTCGTGGACGAACTTGTCAGGTAGCTTTGCCCACAAATAAATGGCACCCTCTCCGCCTTTGACCGCCCCTTCCCCAAGAGGAGCGAGAGCATCTACAACAATCTCCCTGTTCTTGACGAGAGTCTTCACACGCTCAGTGACCCACTCTGGTCCTGCTTCTAAGGAGTATAGGGCTAGATGTTGAGAGATGATCGACGCGCATATGGGTATGTTGTCCTGAACTTTGAGGAGTTGGGCTGCAAAGCCTTCAACTTCTGAAGGATATGCAATCTGCGAATTGCACTCACCAATTAATTCTTGAAAGAGTGACAAACCATCAACAATGTGAAAAGAGTCATACTTTCATCATAGTATAGTCATAAGTACGTAATTTAAGCACCAAAGGTAGTATCTATCTACATTGTACCTATTGGAACTTTGCCTATAAGTACAGCACAACCTAACTTCCATGAACAAAGATACAAAGACAAAACCCTAGTGTCTCTTTAGATCCATGAATCGTCGAATGTGCATTCCAAGATAAATAGCATAAACCCAAAATCAATACAGAATCATTTGTGCTTTTTATTTAATCCAGGAAGATGTACCAAGGTGATCCAGGGTGAAGATTAACGTAACGACTCGCTGATCAATATACTTAAATTTATTGTCAAACCAATTCAACATTTGTCCCAAGTGAAATGGAAAAGAGAAAGGTCTTAATGTTCGTGAGAAACTCATTCAATTCTCACGCAAAAAAGCAACTTACATATCCAACTCGCCATCCCATCATTCCATAGGCTTTGGAAAAGGAAAAGATGTTGACAACATGATTTCCTTCAATGCATGTGTGCTTAAGCCCATCATACATGAAGTACCTGCAAAAACAAAATGATTACCTCCACCTTTTTTTGTTGGTCATAAAATGATCACCTTCTTTTACATGCAGCATGAAAGGAAACTACTCCGCAATTAGTATATAAAATATTCTTAGCCAACAGATTGGATTGCAGAATCTTCTATAAAAATGGATTTTAGTTATGCAGACAGAAAGCACAAAATGTATGACTTCACTCTGAAGTCATCCTGGCACACATGTGTCACATGCCGCTACTCTAGGACAGAAGAGCCTGCAAATTGTTGTATAGACAGACTATAGACTAACTGCAGCAAAATGAACAAATAAGAGCTTTCTTTGCTGTAAATCGCCCTAACGTGAACCTCTAGGCAGACAAAATCATTACATTGAGAAGCTCTGGTTGAAACAGAAAAGACAAGCATAGAAAATAACCAGGACTTACTCATATGTATTATCAACAACAAGCCATGCACCAGCCTGCTCACAAAGATCTGATATCCTCTACTAGGAAAAAGAAAAAACAAAGTTAGATAATTGAAGTAAAATTTGATTATCTAGTCCCAATCTTTGTCAAGACGGTGCATCAAAATCTTCCCGAGAATATGAAAACCTATAAATTTTGTATACTTGTAGCAACTAATAGGCCATTTGAGCGAGAGAGAGAGAGACCTTAAGAAGAGACTCAGGGATGTAGGTGCCAGATGGATTTCCAGGATTCACAACTGTAACAAGCTTTGGGACAGGTTTGGTTTCGGATAAAGTTTTCTCTAACCAATCTGCTATTATAGTAAATTGATTAGTACTCCTCACACAAAACACAAGGACGCATGAGAGTAGTTAAGGTATTAAGTTCAAACTAAAAGGATAACAAATTTACAGAAACATCTCACAAAAATCTAACCTGCATCAGGATAAAGAGTCTTAGGATCACCAGGACCAACCAGTATATCAGTGACCCCTGTCATCTGGAAGGACATGTATGCATTAAAGTAATATGGCGCAAACATGACAACAGAGTCGCCAGCGTCACATAACGTGAGAACAAGATCCACGAATGCCTGGCACAAAAAAAATGAATAGATAATATGTTGGTCAGCATCATTCCATCAGGGTGTACTAGAGCAGGGTTGTTTGTTCTTCACTTGAAGAAAAATACTATTCAAGAAAGGAGAAATGCACTTCCAGAAACCTGATTTGCTCCTGAAGTTACCACCACTGAAGATTTGAATAATTTATTTTCCCGCTGCAACTGCAAAGCAAAACAAAGCAATTTGAAGGATGCCACTATAAGCAAACCCATCTTTAAATTTCCTGGTCCTGGAATCTTTTAGCCTGAACAATAAAGAAGAGGTCAATGCAATATGCCTTAAAATGTGTACCTTCTTTACCAATGCCTCTCTGAGTTCTGGCATACCTTCATCAGCACCATAACGGCTAATAGAAGGCTCCCAAACAAGCTCTTTTACCTTGTCCAGTGCATGCTTGGGTGGTTGCCAATAGACCACTCCCTGAGCACAATGCAAGAAACGATGGCAAAGTTAACAGCTAGCATTTCATATAATATTAAACCTTATGTGCCACAAGGAATAGAGAGAAACTCCACTCAAAAGCCCTTCCACAGTAACACAAGTAATGCAGATTTCAAAGTAAGCATGATCAGATCATTAAATAGCTTCAGCTACGATTGTCAATGGCAGGCAAGAGGATACACCAGAGTCAACAGTTTCTTCACACGACATGAGAAAAATGCCTCATTAAGCAGGCAACACACGGTTTGATGCTTCAAGTCCATAAACAATCATTTCTGTTTCAGTGGGTATCTAATCGGAATGAGAGCTTAACGTGCTTCGAAGAATGAGCACAAAAACGAACACTTAAATGCAACATCAATGTTAATTATAAGATAAAAGATTCCTCATTATCAGATAAAGGAAAATCATGGATTTGAGCCAAATTAATGATCCCCAAAACGCTCGTCTATGCCTCTCACACACATTGACTAGTGTAGTCAATCCCATGTAAAACCCAGGCTGCAATATGTACTGAGATACCAAATTCTTGCCCGGAATCTAGTCCTCAAAATTTTACCCAATTCAACAAAGAGATGAACGAAAATCAATGCGTAGAAGGTAGATATTTTTTAAGTTTCTCAAAATCGTTGAGCAAGAAAACCTTTTTATACTCTAGGCACTTCTACAAATGCATTTCCCACCTGATTTTCCGCTTGGCCCTTTTCGAGAAACCTAAAACGCCTTCCCCTAAACCAGAACCAACCCCACTTCACACTAAAGCAAGAGAAAGACACTATCCCCATTTCCCAACAAAATCTGGCCATTTTGTTCTTGAACAACTAAAACAGATCATAATGCATTCTCAGTTCTCAACACCAACACAATCATCAGCCACCACACAAAAAACAAAAAGAACACAGTGTCCCACAACACAAGAAGAACTAAGCCGAAACAAACCTGAGCCAAAGACATGGCATTTTTCGCTCCTCGAATCACCTCTTGTATCTGCAAAAAAGAAAAAAAAAATCATCTTGGTACGGTATTTCACAAAAACATAAACAATTGAGGAACCCCAGATGCGTTTCGCCAGTTAAAACCAAATTGACACAAGAACGGAAGCAAGAAATCTCAATCCAAGTACCTGAACCATTACGGGCATCTCAGTCTCCAAAGCCCTCTTCGCAAGCTTCCCAAATGAACCCATCTTCCGCCCCCTTTCGTTCCACAGCTACAAGAATCACAAGACACGGACCTTTGCGGAGTTCCAAACACTGGATCAAACCTCAAGAGTCCCGCCTCCAAACTTCCGGCCCGGTGGGGGAACCAAAAAGACGGTCAGCTCCTCTCGACACCAACCCAGTATTATCTTTCGATTAAATTGCCCGGAAAAATTCACACAACTTTCCGTGTAAAGGAGAAAGACCGAGCAAAGAGAGATACGAAGGAGGAAGAGGCGCAAAAAGCCAGAGCACTTTTGATCGTGCAGCAGGCGTATTGGCATCTGAGGCGTTCCCATTGACTCCCCTCCCTCTCCGGCTTTTGTCTCTTTCCACCTAATATCCTCGGAAATTTAAAGACATTTGTTTATGGTCTTCAAAGACAGATTTTAAAAGGCAATCGTTGTCTCCCCTTTTTTTAACTAATTTACTAGATTTCTGCGCGCATTCACGACTGAATGCTACAAAAGAAAAAGTTTTTTGTTTTTTTTTTTTATCCCGTGATATTGTTAGGAAATGAGAGTGACAAGATAAATAAAGGAGCGAAATATATAAAGGTTAATACCACGAAAAATCCTAAAATTGTATACATGTGTCGACTGATTTTTGGCCACCAAAAATCCCAAATCGATACATTCGTGACAAATTTACCCCCCGTTAGTTTCTATTGAATTTTACCATCAACTTACTAAGTCAGTCGACAGGTATACCGATTTGGAGTTTTACCCTTCGTTTGTCACTGGTATACCAGTTTGTAGTTTTATCAAATTTAACGAAAACTAACTGATGGTAAATTTGTCTCAAATGCACCAATTTAGGGTTTTTTGTGGTAAATTTGTCACCGGTGTACTAATTTGAAAATTTTGGTAGTAAAAAAATTAGTTTATGGTAGATGTACCAATTTGAGATTTTTCGTGGTATTAACCCAATATATAACGTGCAAACCGGGTTATGTTGAAATTAAATGCTCTCTTTCTAAAACATTTTGATTTAACTTATTAATCCACACAAAAGAGTTTACTTAAAATAGAGTGCTAGGGTAATTACTGGTCAAAGGCCTGCGTCGTGAAGAGATTTGGTAGTCGAAGGCATGCACCATGCTTAGTCTTTTAGGGAAAACCATCTAAAAATATAATTTTAATATTGGTCTCCAAATTCCAATGGAGGATTACATAATGGTGAAAGGCAGACTAATTTCGTGCAATTTGTTTGAACTTTTTGTTTTTTGTGTTCACCAATTTTGCATTGGTTCACTTTTTACTTTTCTTTAGGATATATATAATCAAATTTAATCTTATAACCGAAAACTTAATAAAGACAACTGGACCATTTCCGGAGTAAGAATCGAAAGTGATCAATTTCAGGAAATTTCAAGTCGCTTTCCAATTTTGATTTGGTAAAAATCAAGGCCTATAGGATTGGTTCTAGATCTCCACTATGCAACAATTAATTTGGGAAAGATCCCTCCTCCTTTTAAATGGGAAAATTGTCAAATCAGTCCTAAACCTATTGTACGGCGGCCAATTCAGTCCTAAACCTTTTAATTTTGCCAATTCAGTCCTAAACCTTTCTAATTCTTGCCAATTCAGTCCTTCCGGCCAATTTTGGCAGGCCGGCGCTGACGTGGCCGCCGGCCGACGCCAACCGTCCGGCATTGGCGAGGCTCGACCTCGCCGTCGCGCCCTAGGCGACGGCGAGGTCGACCTGCCTCAGCAGCGGCAAGGCCGGCGAGGTCGACCTCGCCGGCCCTCCCCTCTGGCCGGTCGCCGATCGCCGGACTGGCTAGAGGAAGAAATCAGAAAAAAAAAAAGAAAAAAAAGATTAAAAAATTGAAAAAAATAATAAAAAAAATTGCCACGTCGGCGTTGGCGGACGACCGCGGTCACGTCCGCGCACGCTTCGTACGCCAAAATTGGCGGAATGATCGAATTGGCAAGAATTAGAAAGGTTTAAGACTGAATTGACAAAATTAAAAGGTTTAGGACTGAATTGGCCGCCGTACAATAGGTTTAGAACTGATTTGATAATTTTCCCCCTTTTAAATCGGATTGTCAATGGTATGCTTTTCAACAAGCTAAATATTCAAATGGCTTGGAATCTTTGACTAAATCATACATTTGAACTCTTTCTACTTCTTTGGAGTGACTATTTCTAATCTACATTATTACACTCTTCATGACTAATTAAATCGACATGACTTATCATCATATATTTAAATCACAACATATTATTCCACAGCGCCTTTAAAGGCGCCATTCTTCACTGTGGAGGTGGAGTTTTTATCCGACACACACGACCGGGGCGGTCCACGTGTCTCCAAAAGGAGCAATACTATGTTTTCAGAGTAAATCGAGGAGAAATCAAGTCACTAATTGCGCCAGAAAGCAGAGGAACCGAGGAGGGCGAGAATCTCTCAACGTGATCGAACGAAGGCAGGCAATCATTCACCACGTCCCTCGCACACAAAAAATAGGTAACTTTTTTACGAATTTCCCATGTTACGGTAATAAATATAGATAGCCCTCGAACCGATTCCGATGTTTATACTTTCTTTTTCTTGTTTTCTTGTCAGATTCTAATGCTTATTCTGACAAGAGCCGTCCATCCCGTGATCAAAGAGCCCTCCATGGATTGATTAAGCCACGATCGGCCAACAATCTAACTTTTCCTAGTTCTTTTTTCCCTTTGAGTTTAGTGAACAAACATGCCCACCAAGAGAGTTAAGAATATCAGAGTCACATGGTGTATTTTCCAGAAAGATAATTTTTCAATCCCAGAGCTTTTTTTATGAAATTATACGATAGATCGATAAATCACTCACGTATTTTGAAGTGTTAGAAACAAGAACAAATAATTTGAGCAGCCGCACCTTTTCTGATTTTTTCGTTCCTTTGATACTTTCTTTTTATGTTTATATCTCGTACAATTTATTCTAACCAAGCGTATCACAATCCCATTGAAGCCTAACTTGCGTGAGCTACACACACAAATGAAACTGGATGAGAACGATGACAAACGTGCCCCACGAAAAGATACTTGCATCAAATACCCACTATTCTGAAATTTTGGTTAAGATCTCCTTGGCCACCAGATCTTTGACAATCTTATATTTGGTGGACTTGAGATTTCTTTGCTTGGCACGGCAACTAAAATGGACCGACTACTTTACCAAAAAAAAAAAAATTGGACCGACCAGTAATCGCCTGGCAACCCTATCGCTTTGTTGAAAGAAGAAACCTAGACGAGTCACGAGGTATGGTAACACCAAAAATGAAGTTTCAACTAGAGGTTTACTTGAATAGGTGGGACAAATAATCAAAGCTGGCGTCAGATGCTCGAAAATTGAGTGACCATGAACTTTCTCTGTCGGGTAAGTGGTCCTTTTAATATTCCTTTGATGTGAGAGAGAGGGAGAGAGAGATCCCATGTTCCTTCCATACACTGAATTCACCTCAAAACAACTGCTGCATTTCTTAGAGCCAAATACCTCTGAACATACTCGTTGGGAAGTGACCTAATGACCTTAAAGACACCGGCATTTGCATAACGAAGCTTGGTCCTCGGATCGTGGTATGGTGCCTGCATTGGCAAACACATTCAAAAACTTCATTGTGCAGTCTGCTCGATAAGATAAGATGTTCTCTTCATAAATGAGGAAATATCTACGAAAGGACTGTTCATTTCTATGCAGGACTGGAACGTAGGCATTGACTTAAAATCAGAATTCATGAAGTTTGACACTAGATATGATAGTATATGGAGAAATAAAACCACAAGGAACCATCAACAAAGAGCGAAACCAGAAGAAGAAGTATTACTCCAAATTCCAGTTCAAGTAATTGCATAGGAGACGGAATAATTAAATCCAAAGGAAGGAAAAGTTAACTTCATATAAAAGAGCACACCAAAAGCAGCAGTTTAGGCGACACATATAGAGACGAGGAGGATAAGCCAAATGGCCACCAGGTAGGATACTTGAAATAAAACTTCAATCATTAGGCTTTGCTTTCTAGTCTGATTTTCTTCTTTGATTCATACTATTATGAAAAAAATGAAATCGAGTTTCAGGCAAGAAACTGCCAAGCGATAATTGGAGCAACAGCAAGGTCTTGATGAGAAAATTTTTATTTATCAGATGCTTTGCGATGGCTAGTGCAGAAACATAAAGTACTTCAAGAAACTTGAACTTCTTCTTTCTCATGACCTAGTCAGAAGAATGCATATTTCGTAAAAGATATGAAAATCCAATAACAGATAACCCGATACTACCCGATGTTATATAAATTAAAATATCCGGCATCTTGACATTAAGAGTTACATACCTCATATCCTGTTATATCACATATCCTCTTGCTTGGATGCATTGAAGGTGGTGATTCAATGTTAACATCTGTAAAACAGGACACGATCTAAAAATCAGGCTTTTCAAATGTAAAGAGGCAAGTAGAGCTTAGAGAAGCTATGACGTTATTAAGTACACACAATTATTGCACCATCACCTTTTCAGACTTCTATTGTAACTTATAAAGTCTAGATACATGTGTGCACAAAGCGATATCAATCATTAGACTTTTACAGCAAAGTGCACCAGAGGGCGTAAGGATGATGTATTTCCTATGTAAAGCCCTTCCATCGAAGAAGTCTCGCCAGCTTGATCTCAATAAAAAATTTTCATGCAAAGTTTCAAAGAATGCAAGTATACAACACTCCTTCTGTCTATAATAGAATTTGCCACCTTTAAAACGAAAACAGAAGCAGCAGTTCACAATTTAAGAATCAAATCCCCCAGTCAAGATGATCCTGATTCTTGAGCAGTTGCACTATTTGCCGTGTAAGAAATTTATAGCAAAACCAGCAAACCCAGCTAAGTAACCAAAGTCTCTAAAGCTTCCAAAATCTCAATATTGTTTTTTTCTGACAGAAGTAAGATCAAATAATGTGAAGCAGTCATAAAATAGCTCCCTTGAAGAAACTAATACGAGCTACTCAATTTGAAACTTGATATGCGCCAATATCATGGCAAGTGTACTGAGAGGAAACCACAATGCACCAGGCTGTGTATCAGCTAACACATAATCTATTACCATTATCAACAAAGGGGGAAAACAGAAAAATCCCTGACACAATGAAAAATTTATCTTTCTTGCTTGCTTGTTTTGAGAAGTATGAACTTACAATTAGGTTCATCGGGAGGGTAATTCTGGAAATTTTCGGCTTGAATGATCTGCTTGAGATGCTTGAAACGCTTGGCACTGGATTGGCCCTTTGGATACTTCTCGTAAACTTGAACCTTCTTGAAGCTGAAATAGGTTGGCAATACAAGTTCTGCTTCTAATACCTCTGGCTCCATTCTTCTCTCCTTTCTCTGTCAAAATAGCACATCTCAATTATATTACGCTTCGTCAATTGTGGACATTGTCGTTTCGAGAAAACTAAGGAAGTCATTGATACTGCATTCGTTTTAGCTCCCATCCCCCTAAACCCCCATCTTCAATTCCCTTGCCAGATGGGTATGCTGAGTAGTCCGGAAATGACGAGATGAGACATCAACAATAACTAGTCATGTGTAGGTGGACATCTTTGGACACAGAAAATTCACAATGACAAGAGATAAAACACAAGATACAGAGTGAAAACGCATACATAACAAGACACCAATCGTCTAACACGTAATTGATGGTGGTTGTGGGATGTGTTGTGAGGATTGATCGTCAAAATAATTTAATCTAAAATACAATATGGGAGAAAAAGTCGTAATCGGACGGATTCCCATCGGTGCGGGGTACCCGCATCCTAATTTGAGCCGGACAATGCTAGATTCGAGTCGGGGTTTCTCTTTCCTAGTGTGTCTTGGTCCACCGTGCAGAAGGGCCGGAGACTGAACTCGAATCCTAGCATAATGGCGACCCAGCTTTGGCAGATCAGCGGAGTAAGCGTAGCAAGAGAAGGAAAATGCAAAATCTGTACATGTGAGCGTTCATAAAGAGAAGAAAAGACTGGTTTTTGAGATGGGGCGTATGTCTGAGCGGTAGTGAGGTCCCATTTCTGCAATTCAAGACAAGGCATCGAGGCTGCTATTACAATTAGCTAAGCAAATGCGGGGGGAAAGAGCTGCCTTGCAAACATGTTGTGTTGCAGAAAGCAAAAACTTCTTGTTCCCAGAAACTAGAGCTAATTCAACAAAGCGCATGGAAAACAGAACCCAAATATCAGCACACGTTGAACGAGAGAAACAAAAGGGAAGCGCTGGAGATGAAAGAGCCACTTCAATTCAACTGAGGTTGGAATCGAAAAGCGCGATGTCTTCTGAACTGAGATCGGAATCAACAGCTTGGAACGAAACCTAACAGGCTAAGCCACCAACCGGACTCGACAATTTCGCCTAAATCGCCTCTCCACTCAACCATTGGACTCGGCAATTCACGCGCGGCTCAGGAGAGAGAGAGAGAGAGAGAGAGAGAGAGAGAGAGAGAGAGAGAGCCACCTTGAGTTCCCGAGGGCGGTGGCGGCGGCGGCGGCGGCGGCGGCGGCGGCGGTGGCGACGGCGGTGAGGTGGGCGAGAGAGAGGCTCGAGAGGTGTCGAGGACTCGGGACTCGGGACACGAGAGAGAGAGAAAACTTTCCCGGCTTTTTTTTTTCTTTTTGTCCTAAAAGTGTATTTGCGAAAACAAATGAAAATATGTCTAAATACAATAGACTCCGTTTGATTCGCCAAAAAATTTAAAGTTTTTAGAAAACATTTTCAAGAAGTAATTATTTTTTGAAAAATAATAATACATTTTATTATTTGATTGAAATCTTATAAAAATACCAAACGCTATTTTCCATCGTTTAAAGAGGAAAATTTAATTTTTTTCTAAAAAGTCATGTATGATTCGAGCACCAGTGATTGGGGCACAAACAACCGAGCATGAGCCCCGAGGTTTGGGGCTCCTTGGCATGGGCCCTGAGGTCCTGGGCTCGCATGCCAAGGACCTAAGCAAAGGCATCGGTCCAAGGTCCCCATTACCCATGCCCAGCTCCCCAAACCAACACTTTATGTTTTTCAGGTCTTTCCGTACCGTTATAACTTATCTAGTGAAATGAGTCAATTTTTCTGGGCAGGGCTGGGACCTCGAGAGTGTTCCAAACTTGGGTTCGGTGAACTTGGGCCTAGCCTCTATAGATTTGGGCTCGACCTCCATGGACCCGGGCCAAAGTGTTAGGGATCCAAGCACATGCACTAGGGTTTCGAGCACAAGTACTAGATCTGGAGCCTAGGCGTCTGAGATCCAGGCATAGGCACACCCGAGCTCGAGTGTCGAGGACCAGGGCAAGGGCACTTGGGTTCCAAGAGGACCCAAACACGAGCACCGAGATAGCGAACCTAGGCATTAAGGATCCGGGCATTAGGTCCCAAGCTTGATCCCAAAGAACCAAGCCAGACCTTTTGTGGACTCGGATCTGGGCATGGGCACTGGAGTCTTGGGCTTGACCTATGTGGACCTGGACCGACCACGTGGACTCGGGCTCGAGCCTGGGAAACTCAGCCTCTGTGGACCTGGCTAGATGATGGATTTTTTTAAGTAATATTTTAAGTTATAGTTTACTGTATCAGTTAACAACTATTCAATAATTGTACTCTCTAGTAATATCCTTTCATTGAGAAAATAGATGTGAGTATTTAAGGGTGTATTTGATAACTAGCTAAATAGTAACTGATTCTATTATTTTGTTTCCAGAATCAGTTTTGGAATAAAAATCCGTTTGGTAAAGTTTTGTTCTCGGGCACAAATTTGCGTAAATTTGTTCCCATAATCAGTTTTGGAACAGAATCAAGAAGCAATTGAGAACAAGAACGAAAAATAGAAAAGATTTTCTTTTTCTTTTTCTTCTTTCCTATTCTTCTTCTTGGCCATGGCCGGGTCGCTGGCGACCGGCGGCCAGCCACAGGCCAAGGCCGGTGAGGGCGTCGCGGCCCTTGCCAGTTGAGGGCTACCCTCGAGGCTCGCGGCTCGCGGCTTGGGCGAGGGCTGCCCTCGTCGGATTGGGGGACGGCGGCCCTTGCCCAGGTCGCAAGGGTCCAACCCTCACCCTCGCCCAAGCCGCGAGGGTCCAACCCTCGCCCTTGCCGGCCATGGCCACGAAGGAGAAGAAGAAAAAAAGAAAAAAAAAAGAAAAATGAAAGAAAGAAATATTTAAATATTTAAAAATATTATTAATAAAAAGAAATTTTGTGCAATTACCAAATACATTTATGTTCTTTTTCTATTCCGGGAATAGAAATTTTGGACCGTTACCAAACTCCTTTAAATGCCTAGAAATTATTTCTGAGAACAGAATGGTTACTAAACACACCCTAAGCATGTTTCATTGAACATTCAAAGGATATAATGTAACATTTCTTTCATTTTCTAAACAGATGTACGATGTAACTTGATTTGATAAAAATTACAAAAAAAAGTACAATATGTTGGAACATTTGTGACGCTTTCTTGTATGACCCATAACGCTCGTGGTGCATATCATGGTCTCGGGAATTTACTTGTTCTACAATAAGTTTACTCGTCATAAAAAAATAATAAATAAAAGTAATGTGCTTTTACATTGATTTGCTCAGGTTGGTAATGGTAATTGTGTTTTTTTGTCCTCTTAACACATTCCCTCCGTGCAGTTTTTAATTTGTTCAATAAATCATCTAACTTATTCGTTACGTGCAATCAAACCGACGATGCAACTGCACGCTATCCACATGGCATTTTTAATACTGAAAATAGGAGAGAAAGAGAAAAATAAATAAATGTCAAGTATTATTGGAAATGAAATTTAAAACATGGCAAATGAAAAAAAAAAAGTTCAAATCATATCTCTCCTCCATAGCGCACCGCGGCACAAACATCGCACCAAACCCAACACGGCCGCTCAAGTGCGAATCCCGGCACTTCTATGGTACTTCATATGCACTGCACAACTTTACAACTTATCATCGTAACTAATATCAGAATATCACGACACATCATAAAACTGATTTCCGACATTTCGGTCGAACCCAATAGCCCGAGTCTCTATTTTTTTTGGTTAGGCAAGTGTTATGGGCTGGTAGTTCCTTGGCCGTGGAATAGCCCGTGCGATGCCTAATGGGTCGTTAACACCAAGCCAGCCTTCGTTCTGTAGTTGTTCCAAAGAATCGTATGGCGAATAGCTTCCTCGTATCAGATCATATCACGCCTGAGCTATCGAGCGATACAATTTGTGGACGGGAGGCCAATTATGAGTGATCGGTTCCTTGTCCGGTCCGGTTTCAAGGCAGAATTGGGAATCGGACCTGACCAGTGGTTCGGTCCAATAGAACCGGTTACTTTTTTTTTCCCAATACTTGATGCCATCTCTTCGTGTTCCCCACTGCTTTTTTAGAAAAAGATCTTAGACCATAACTATTTACTCATATATCTTCTACAATAAACAAAAAGTAAAAATCAGATTTATAAATTGTAGATCGAAAATAATAAACTAAACCCACCAATCATCGAGAGATAATAATTATTTTGTAACCATGAATGATCAAACATCAGTGATCCTCAAATTGAAAAGACAAACCAAAAAACGTACTTAACTTAGGGTTTAGTACATATTTTACTAATTTTTTTGAAGAAAAGAAGGGAAAATGGCAAAAATAGTCCATAAATTTTAGTCTAATGTACAATATGGTCCCTAACTTTTAATTTGTTTAATATAGTTCTTAACTTTAACTCAATATATAATGTGCTCCATAAAATTTTATACGATTTCATTTGGAATCGGGAACCGGATTACTCGGATACCGGTTCCACTTTTAGGAATCGAGAACCAAACCGATCCTCTCGGGAATAGGACCATATCGGCCAATCCGGGCAGTTCTTGATTTGGGCTGTCCGTTTTGCACACCCCTAATTCCAATCCTACCTTTGGAGCTTCTAAGGGCATATTCATTCAATCTTAGAATTTCTAACACCAATTGTCTCGACGCTACTCCCATGAGCCAATTGCATTCATTCATTCTGCATTGCTCACTCTTCACCCGATAACCCAAGCTCTACTCATAAGGGTGCGCGAGTACAAGAGAATCACGGTCTACGACACGAATGTCTAAATTAAACGGCCCATATTTAACCCCCACTACAAAAGAAAAACAAGTTGACAAAACAGCCATCCGAAGGATCCGAATCAAATTCAAAAAAGACCCGAGAGAAAATGACAAAAAAAACACTAAGAAGTTGACAAAACAAGCCATCCGAAGGATCCGGATCAAATTCAAAAAAGACCCGAGAGAAATTGAACCAAGCAAAACGCTGGAGCACTCCTTCTTGTCGGGTCAGGTCAGGTGACCCGTCGGACCTCCCACGTGATTATGTGGGGCTCCCGTCATGTGGGGGTGGGTCCAGCTAGGCGCGCATATAACATTAAATGATTAAACAACTTCCGCCTTTCGAAAGCTGGCCTCTCCTTAATCGTCATCAATTCAATCCCCCCTCGCCTGCGCCGGTCTTTTCAAATGTTCAAAACGATTTCAAATCTTCGCTTCCTCCCTCCCTCACTCAGCCTCTCTCGTTCATTCTTGTGTTTTCTTCTGCTCTCGTTTCCAACCTCTTACGTCAGGGAATCAATCTCTATACTGCCCGCAACATTCAACTTCAAAAGTGGCAAGAATTTCCAAAACCTTATCCGGATCTTTCGAGCACCCGAACCGTGTTCACGGCGCTGACAACGTGCACCTAACCTTGTTTAGGATCAGACCCGAGTATGGGGACCGGCATGTGCTGTTTTGCGAACGGCCATGTATTCTGAACTATTATTAGAGCGTGTTTAGATGAGCCGTTCAACGGAATTTGCTCGGTGCGCCCTAATGGTCTGACGAGCATTAAAATTTGTTGATACCGATCGTTTTCGAAGACGTGACTAATTAAGCACGCTTTTCTTAATATCACGGGTCATTTGTTCGTATTTCCATGTAGATAGTAGATACTTACGATAGAGCCCATTATCGAGAAATGCATATTTAGTTGTAAACCCAATATATTTATATGGCCTCTTTTCCGATTTCGAGAATTCACGTGGTTCGAAATCGAGATATTCGACCTTTACGGGTCGCGGTAGCTGCAAGCCAACCTATACTCAATCTTGACTTTATCCATTTCGAGAGAACTCCATTTGAGATTAAGATCTATCGTTATTGAGGCGGAAAGAGACCATGCCATGTCGCTCCAAGTCCCCCCGATTTCTCCTTTCCAAGGAGCAAACCTTGAAACGGGCATTGCCGAGCGGTTTCTGTGCTTTGGCCATTTTCACGAGCCGATCCAAACCCGGTTCTCTCCCACATGTCAAAGAGCGGAAGTAACTTTCCCTATTACTTTTCTGGCCCAAAAAAAAAAAGAAAAGAAAAACCCTTGCTTCTTGGTCAAACTGTCAACGTGGTTAGACTGTCGTCGCACGATAAATTAACGTTTGGATCTTGGTTTTGTTAACCCAACATTTGCTTTTGTGCATCCGTTTTGGCCCCCACATTACTGTACAATAATAATAATGATAATGGATAAAATTAAATGAATTCGTTAGTTGTTTGAGAGAGAGAGTTTAAACAGAGCAACATCCCGCTCGCTCCCCCGCAGTTCAGTACTGAATGGACTGACCGACGCTGCCTAAAAGAAAAAGAAAGGCGACGAAGAAGACGACGACGGCACCTTTCGGTCCTCTATCCTCGCCATCTTTGCGCTCTTCTTTGGGGTGGGGGGCTTCGCGAGACGAGGTGGGATCGAGACCAAACCCGCAAGCATTATAGTTATCTGCGTCCTGCGTCGATCTTTGAACCGGGCCGCGCTTTCGTTTGGTATGTTTTCTTTGCTGGTTGGCATCAGAACTGGCTCGACCGAGCTGGGCGTTTCTCGGTTTCTTTGGAAAAAGGCCGGGTTCTTGGAGATTTGTCAATCGGGTGTAGCTTTTTATATGTTCTTTCGTTGTTTGGGCTGGCAAATGCGGGACAGGAAATGGGGAATTTTTGAAAATCTCGAAGCCCTGGAACCCGAGAACGAAGGGGAAGTTCGTGGAGCTGGATTGGTTTCGAATTTCGCGGAGGATTCTTGATTTCTTCTTCCCTCGTTCTCTTGGCAAGAAGCTTGTGTTGACTTTCATCTGAACTTTCCTCTGTCGTCGTCTCTTGCTCTCCCCCCAACTTGCGAGCCCGCAATCTCTGCAGAATGTGGAACTTTTCGAGTGTAGTTTTGATCTACTCAGCTGAATTTTAAGTTGGAACGACAATGTGGGTCAAGAATAGCCAAGATTTTTACTCATTCCTTTGGTTTACGAGGTTCTGTGACATCATTTTCTTTTTCGTTTTCTTTGACCTTGTCCCATGGTCGCGTTCATCAATTTTCTGAACTGTTGTAACCCAACTCTTGGCATTATACTGGCGAGCTTAGGTTTCTTCAATTACTTTGTTATATTTTGCTTTTCAAAGCACTTTAAACGATTTTCCGCAAAATCCATCCTCTGTTCCTTTTCTTTTTAAGATCTAATTTTATCTAGTTCTGTTCATGGTGTTGATCTCCTGTTCATGATGTGGATTTCCTCCTTTCCTAGGCTCGTTGATATGAAAAAGGAAACTCTAGGGTCTACTACTGTCGGAGCTGTTAATGGTCGAACGACCCGTGCTCGAGTGGCGGCGCTACATGCATCTGAGGAAATAATTGCTTCAGAATCATCTGGGCAGTCTAAACAGCACGGTCAGGATCGTGCTTCGCAAGAAAAGCCAAAGAGAGCAATTTCGGATGGGAATGGCAGTGCTGCTAAAAATGCATTTGCAAAGCGATATAAGAAGACAGCCCTTCAAGACGTAACAAATGTTTGCTGCAGCAGCTTACATAAAGACTGCTTCAATGTGACGAAAATACTGGTTAGTGTGCTATATTCATTCTGTCGGGGCAATGCATGTTTATCACAGAATACTTTATTAGTTGAAACTCGAACGTGTTTGGATGGAAAGAAACTGTGCACTTTGGAACATATGTTTCGTGAATGAGTGTTCACCGTAACATGTTTAGCAGATACAAAAGGCTGGAAACACATAGAATCAGTTCATGGTGATCTCGAGTGACAATAGATGACATCTTTGAGTTGAGTATTAAATTCACCAAACGTTCTCAATTCGCATTTTGGATACGCTAATTGTCAGGCTAAAAATGGGAAAAAGGCGGGAAGAGCTCCACTCAAGGTTTCCAGAGTGTTTAAATCAGTTTCAGTGGAAGTCTCGAAGCCTCAGTCAGATTTAAGCGCAAAGACTACAGCTGAAATGGTGGCCAAGGAACCGAGTTCAGAAGCAGTTCTGCAGACAATCAAGCAGGAAGAAGATGCATCTTCACGGTTATGCAGCACCGGATGCACCATAATCAATTCTCAGCTTGCAAAAGATTGTTCCGGAACGTCTTCACAAAATCAAGGTCCTTCAGATAAAACTATATTATCTGCATAGTCATATTTCGTTATGTTCTCTAAACCAAAGGCCCATCACTTTTGGATGTTCATGCTAAACTCCATAACTACACAAAAGAAAAGTTCATGCAATTGAGACAATGCGCTTTGACTTCTTAAAGCTTTCTCTAATTAAACACGTGATGCAAATGAGATGCAATTTTCTCGTCTTTCTGGGGTTTGTATAATGAGTTTTGCTCATAGGCATCATTTTGTTTGGGTTTTGGTTACAGCAGAGAAAGGAAGCCTCCATGAGATTTCAACGATTTCAGAGAAACCACAAGTTACCGATATTGATTCTGATAAAAAGGATCCCCTATTATGCAGCCTTTATGCCCCAGACATCTACAGCAATCTACGTGTTACAGAGGTTTGTGCAATGAACAGTGTTTGCTAAGATACTTCGATCTCATGTCACTTCAAACCCACTAGTCATTTTTTGGCTTTATCTGATTCTGAAGTACATGAATCCTGTAGAGGGAGAAGTTTTCAAGCGATTAATATAGCAGCTGGGTAGCAAATTCTCTGCCTGCCAAAAACTTGAACCACGGGACTAATTTTTGAGCTGAAAATTAATTAGATGAAAAATATTCATACAAAAATGCTGGCTCCACTTAGCCTGGGAAGGCTCCATTTTTGTTCTATGCATCTTCTCTATGTTAGAATGCTCGGCTCCACCTGATGCTGGTTGGTTCATTTTAAGTTTGTAGTTACGGCTATGCCAAGATCAAGTAGATGAGTAGGTATCACTCTCTTCTCTAACATTGAGAATTACGATTCTAATTCATGTAATCAACTTCCCTATCAAGCTCCGCGATGAATAACATATATGATGAAGGCCAGGATTCATTCTCATTGTAGTTTTCTTGACCCTTTCCTTTTAATATTTTGTTCCCAACCATGCACGGGCCACAAGCACCAACCATTGACTTATTTGGCGTTTTTTCTCGTCAGCTTCTCAGGAGACCTTGTTGTAATTTTATGGACACTGTCCAGAAAGATATTACTCAGAGCATGAGGGGGATCTTGATTGACTGGCTTGTGGAGGTCAGCATAACTCTGTGCTATTTTTTGATCTCTATTTTTCCTTTGCCTGTTTTCTTTAAATTTGTTTCTGCCATATTCAGCAGTCTATCTGCGCTGAACATGCTTCACTAACTGCATATTGCATCGTGCATTATCATATAACTGGCGAGAGGGGCTAAATCAAGTGCCTCCGATCCAGTGTTTATGCACATGTGAAACAAAAACATGTCTTGGATTCCTTTAGTTTACATGAACAGTCCTGGCTGATTTTTCTAACCAACTTGTTTCTTGTCCATTTTCAGGTTTGCGAGGAATATAAGTTGTACCCAGATACACTATATCTCTCAGTGTATCTGATTGACTGGTTTCTGTCTCAAAATTACATTGAAAGACGGAGACTTCAGCTACTTGGCATCACTTGCATGCTAATCGCTTCGTAAGACTGCTCCCATTACCTTTCAGTTTGGTTTTTATTTGTCAGTTATTTCTTGAATGGGATATGTCTTGCATCACGCGTTAAATCAAGTATTTACTTGGCTCATAAAAGATAGTACCACATTGACTTCATCACCAAGAAGAAGCCAAACAATGTAGGACTACAATTACTCTGCATAGTGGAGGCGAAGATATAACCCTTCCTTGGCTTCTACAGGAAGGAGAAGTAATTTGATTCTCTCTTATCTGATGCATATTTGATGCATCAATATGAAATAGAGCAAAAGCTTACCATGAGAGAGAGAGAGAGAATAACGTAAATATCCTAGATAAATAGACCGCTTTCATATATTTCAACTCATAAAAATTGTTGCTTCTTTAGAAAGATCCTGCACTTCAAACTCCAGAAACTTCATTTGCCTGCCATGACTTGTTTTGCAAACGTTCATGAAACACAATGTGTGTCCTGCAAAGCCTAACATTTTTCGCCCTCTTTGTCCTTTGTTTGTAGGAAGTATGAAGAAATTTGTGCTCCACGAGTTGAAGATTTTTGCTTTATCACTGACAATACTTACACCAGAGAAGAGGTATGCACTGCTACTCTCACCTGGCCTACTTGAATCTTTCACATTTCTTTGCTTACAGAAACAAATGATTTATTGTTGTTTTCATAACACTAGTTCCTTTGCATTTTTGCTCAAGTGGCAGAGACCTATGCAATAGCCAAAATCCTCGCTCGCCTTAGCTTGTTCCTTTGGCTAACTAAGATGAACAACACTTAAAGTTGCTCAACTGTCATTGTTAATACTACCGAAGTTATTATTATGAAACACATTAACCGAAACGAATCACCAAATTATGCATCAGACAATGTTTTCTCTAGAACTGTGAATTCAGTTGTCCATTCAGATGTAAAAGATCCACATTGGTGTATATTGGTAGGTGCTGAAAATGGAGGGCCAACTACTTAATTTTTTTGGCTTCCGGATTTTCGCGCCCACAACGAAAACTTTCCTTGGGTACTGCAACTTACTGAACTCTCATTTGCTTTACTTTCGTTGGAGTTATCTGCATGCTAAAAGTATCAAATAATTTGTTTCTCAGGAGATTTATTCGAGCAGCACAAGCATTGTATACGGTAAGGGTCATTGATCTGCTCCATGCTAGCCTGAGCTCCTAGATCTTTAGGAAACTAACCATATGTCCATCAACTGCTTGTAAAATTTCCAGAGCCCTAGTCTTGAATTGGAGTGCTTGGCCGACTACCTTGCAGAGCTGACATTGGTCGAGTACGACTTCCTGAGTTTTCTCCCTTCTCTAGTTGCTGCATCAGCTGTATTTCTTGCTAGATGGACGCTGGATGACTCACGCCACCCTTGGGTGTGTTCTCTATCTTGCATTTCTTTCATTGCCATGAGCTTACAATTTCGTGATCTGGGTATTGACTTACCTTTTGCTTTCTGCAGAATCCGACGTTGGAATTCTATACATCTTATAAGGCCTCTGACCTAAAGACTACGGTTTCTGCATTACAAGATCTGCAGTTGAATGCAAAAGAATGTCCACTAAGTTCTATACGTATCAAGTATCGGCAGCAGAAGGTACACTAGTATAAGAGCTCAAAAAATTGGTCGAAGTTTATTGCTCACATCAATGAAAAGGATATCTTATTTAGATTTTCTTATGTTTGTTACGACAAAAGTTGCTAAATTGCTATCCTTCTTCGGATCTTGGCTTGAACTGAAATGGAAGCTTTGGCTTATAAGTCTCTTTCCTTCTTTGCTATAGTTCAAATCTGTGGCGCTTCTGACTTCTGCCAAAATCCACGAAGCACTCTTCTGAAGATGACAGTGCGGCTGACAATGCCTAATCCTTGCTAATCGCTGACGGCAGCATTTCCCTGCATGTATGAAGATACGTGAGATTCTGACTAATCCCAGATTCGGCGCTTTCACCAACTTGTTTCATACAGATTTCTGGTATTTCCACTTCTGTTCATACTACGTAGCGGTTACTCTTCTGGTGTACTTGTCGATACTTTAATTCTTTTCAGGATGTATATCTGCGGGTCCTGCGATTTCGGGATTCATCACCCAGTTTCACATAATTGCTGATTTTTTTTTCGACTTTAGTTAATTACTGTTGACCGTGAAATGACCACCACGAGCTCAGTGGTTGCTACTGTAAACTAGCTGGAGAGGATGTATTTAGCTCAATGTGATCTTGAAACAAAAGTTTCAACTCTATTGTACTCCTTTTGTATCTATTTGCTCATTCAATTCCTTTTCTGTTATATTTGACTTCTATCTCGTTCTCGCACCCTCCCTCCCTCGGGCATGAACGTGAGGACCAGCACGCGTTGCCAGTTGCGATAAGAGGATTTATGCAGTGTTCGGTTCACTATATCGTCCTCTAGACCGTAAGATCTTGTCTTTTTTTTTTTCAAAAACCGTGCAGATCGAGATGCTGAAAACTTGAGGAGAAAGAAACCGATAATTTCTGTAGCGCATTCGACGACACTGGAGAGCTCAGATTGGTGAGATGAGTCAGGGTTTCGATCATGTAACGTAGCCCGAGTTCGGGAAACTCTGCTTGGGATGGATTCATGGGCTGCTACCATTCGATGTTATGTTAGCTGTGCTACATGATCTCAAAACTCAGCATCCATAAGCTCAGATTGGTGTAAAACCAGATCAGTTACACACGCAGCAAAAACCTACCGCTGTACCTAGCAATTCTATTATTTGATAGATGGCACGGATTCATCAAGTTTAGAGTTGAACTTAGCATCATTTGTTGACAGGAATTAAATTTTGTCTAGCACGGAAAATTTGAGAACATCGCGGACTAATCTAGTGCTCCACATTGTAAAAAATAAAATAAGACGGAACTTCTATTGAAAAAGGGCCCAATTCCCTAAAAAACCCCCAACTTTGCCCTTTGTCCCAATTATATTCCAAGCTTTTTTTTGTCTTATAAAAAACCTCAAACTTTTACTTTTGTCCCAAATCTACCCAATTCACTTTTCGTCCAATTTTTTCATATTATTTTTTCGAATTTTTTTATTTGTTCTTTTCTTTTCTTTTTCCTTTCCCTTTTTTTTTTTTGTTTCACCTTCTGGCCGGTCGCCAGTCCGGCGACCGGCCAGAGGCGGGGGGCCCGCGAGGTCGGCCTCATTGGCCCGCCGGGCGAGGCTTGGCCTCGCGGCCGCTGCGAGGCCGACCTCGCCAATAGCCGGCGGGGCCGACCTCGCCAATGGCCGTGGTAGAGCCTCGCCATGGTGGCGAGGCTCGGCCCCCGCCGGCCGTGGTGAGGCTCGGCCTCGCGGGTCTTTGGCGAGGCCGACCTCGCCGGTTCTTGCGGCGGGGCCGACCTCGCCAATAGCCGCGAGGCTCGGCCTCGCCGGCGGCGGCGTGGCCAGAGTTCTCGCCGAGATCTAGCGAGGCTCGGCCGCCGGTGGCCTAGCGAGGTCGGCCTCGCCCGGCAACGGCGAGGTTCGGCCTCGGCCGAGCCTCGCCGATTCTTCAGGCGAGGCCGACCTCGCCCGGTTGCGGCGGGGCGAGCCTCGCCAGATCTGGCGAGAACTCGGCCACGCCGGCTGCCGGGCGAGGCCGACCTCGCCAATAGTCGGCGGGGCCGAGCCTCACCGTGGTGGCGAGGCCGGCCCGCCGCAACCGGGCGAGGTCGGCTCGCCTGAAGAACGGCGAGGCCGAGCCTGCTAGCCCACGGCGAGGCTCGCCCGCCAATGCCGCCGAGGCCGAGCCTCGTCCCCGCCGGCCCCCGCCTCTGGACCGGCGACCGGCCCCCGCCTCTGGACCGGCGACCGGCCCAAAGGTGAAACAAAAAAAAAAGAAAAGGAAGGGAAAAATAAAAGAAAAGAAAAAATAAAAAAAATTTGAAAAAATAAAAAATAATATTAAAAAATTGGACAAAAAATGAATTGGGTAGATTTGGGACAAAAGTAAAAGTTTGAGGTTTTTTATAAGATAAAAAAAAGTTTGGGATATAATTGGGACAAAGGGTAAAGTTGGGGGTTTTTTAGGGAATTGGGCCATTGAAAAAGCTGGCAATCCGATCGTCGGTAAAGCGGTTCAAATAAGATCCGATAAACTAAAACTAATCGATAATGTTAATGTTCGAAAAAAGGTTGGTAAGTTAACAAGGTATCAGAAAAATTTGATAATTCAGAATCAACTTAATTAGCCTTGGTTGAAAAATTGTCGAAAAAATCATAAACCTATTGCACTCTTGCCAATTTAGGTTTAAATATTTTAATTGTGTCAATTGAGTTATAAACATTTTCATATTTTAACAATTGAGTCAATTCGATCAATTTTGGCTAGAAATCGTTGACGTGGACATTAACTATATCCTATGCGGCATAGCTAGTACCGACGTACGTGCATAGTTTTTAATAAATTTTTTTAAATTTTTTGAATTTTTATTTTTTTTTTCTCTTTCTTTGTTTTGTTTTACAACTCTAGCCTAGTGTCGGCGAGGGCCACGATCATTAAGGGCGCGCATGAAATCATTTCTGTTTCTCTATTTTTTTATTTTTCTGTTTCCAGGAATAGATTTGGAATAGAAATCCGTTTGGTAATGCAGTTTCATTTTTCTATTTCTGGAATAAATTTTTATTCCAGAAATAGGTTTGGAACAGAAATCAGAAGTAAAAAAAATTTACTTGTTTATTTCTGGAACAGAAATGAGAAATAAAAACTCTTTTTATCGCTCGCCCTTGCTATTAGCCGGCCACCCCCTTGCCGCCGGTCGCCTCCCGCCACCGCCGGCCAACTCCTGCCGTCGGTTGCCCACTGCCGGCGTCCTTCGCCGACCGCCTCCTCCCACCACCATCCTCCGTCGTTCGCAACCGCCCAATGCCGGCTACAACCCACCCACCGCCGACTCCCACCGTCCTTCGCCGCTACCTGCCGGTCGGCTCGTGCCGGTGCCCACCGGCCATTGCCCGCCGGCCGCCGACCACCATCCTCCGCCGCTCGACGTCGGCCGCCACCCGCCACCAGTTGCCGTCCTCCGCTGCTGGCCGCCGTGCTCCACCGCCCGATGCCAGCTACCTCCCGCCGCCCCCTGGGTGGCCGGCGGCCACCCACCATCGACCGCTGTCCTCCTCCGCCAGCCGTCGTGCTCCATCGCCCAATGCCGACCACCTCCCATTGCCCCCCGGGTGGCCGGCAGCCACCCACCATCGTTGCTGTCCTTCGCCGCCGTGCTCCACTGCTCGACGCCGGCCGCCCCCGGCAGCTGCCGCCGGCCATCGTTATCCGCTGCCGGCTGCCGTGCTCCACCACCCGACGCCGGCAGCCGCTCGGCGCTAATTGTCTCCCACCGCCGGCCGCCGTCATCCGCTACCGCTGGCCGGTCGCCTCCCACCACCGGCCACCGGCCACCGTCCTCCTCCCCTCGCCGCCACTCGCCATCCTCCCCCGGTCGCCCGGAAGGGAGAAATTTTGTGTCGTTATCAAACAAATTTCTATTTCGAAAATAGAAATTTTGTGTCGTTATCAAACACGCATTTTTGCTCAGAAAACTCGTCCATGAAATAGAAATAGATTTTTCTATTTTTGGCCAGAAATTGATTTCTGGAACAGAAATGTTATCATGCGCGTCCTAAGAGTTAATGCCTAAAAGTGCTGAAAATAAAATTTGTACTTTCAATTTTTTTTCTTTTCTGTTTTTGGAAAGTAAAATTAGGGGTGTGCATGGTCCGGGTGGGCGGTTCCCACCCCGGAACCGTGGACCGCCCGCTACAGGACCGGTTCCAAAAATTGGAACCGAGAACCGCCCATCGGTTCCATGGACCCGCCCGAGAACCGGACCGTCGGTCCGGTCCGGTTCTTGGGCGGGTCCATGGAACCGGTCTCAACAAGTTTTCCTAGACAAATAAAAAAAAAATCTGTGGACCAACATCGGATCAACAGAATAAAAGGAAAAGAACATAACTTTTCATACAATTCCTACACTATGATCGATTATATTAACCATATCATCCATAAATCAAGTAGGTACCCATTAATTATTGGGAAAAATGACCAAGGTATCCCAACTACACAAGAGCTTCAGACATGATAACAAATTTTCTTCTTTTTTTTAATTTTTTTTGGTCAGATTTTTTTAATTAAAAATTAAAAAAAATATATTATTATTATATTACCGGTCCGGTCCGGATGGGCGGGTGGGCGGTTCCACACCGGGAACCGGCCCAAACAGTACCGGTTCCCTTGGGAACCACCGGTTCCGGTCCGGTTCCAAGCGATTCCGGTCGGTCCGGGCGGGTCCCGGTTCTTTTGCACACCCCTAAGTAAAATTACGGAGGCCTCTAATTTTTCCGGAAGGGGTGGGGCCCGGGGAAGGCAACAGAAAAACGAACACTGCGAACCCCCGATTTTTCCTTCATGTCGCTGCTCGTTTATTGGACCGAACGTCACTCCATTTCCATCGCTTCTTATCTCTCCACTTTCGTCCTCCTCCTTCTCCTCCTCCTCCTCCGAGCGAGAGAGAGCGAGAGAGAGATGGCGGTTCTGAGCGCGCTCTCGCCGCCGTCGACGGCCGCCTCGCTCTCCGCGTGCTCGTCCTCCGCTGCTCGCGGCGACGGACCCAGGCCGCGCGCGGCGGCCCCGTGCCGCCATCCGACCGGCCTCGCGCCGTCCGCTCGTCCCTCCGAGGTCTCCCCCTCCCCTCTCCGCGCCCGATCAGGTGACTCTCTTCTCCTTGCTCGCTCCGTTTCGGCTGCTCTCGCGCGCTTGTGATTACTCGCGAAGTCCACCGGCTTCCTTCGATGCGCTCTTCTGGTGCTGCTGCTGTTGCCGCCGCCGCCGGGGGGGAATGAGATTCCGGAATTTGCTTTTGGCGGTGTCGTGCGTGCGAGCGCAGCAGTGATGTCGGTCCACTTTGTTTCGGATTAAATAATTGGCTGTATCCGATTATTCTGTTTGAATTTTTTTTTTCTCTTCTTCTATTTATGGATTTTCGAGTCGCAGCCTGCATCTCGTTCCGTTTCCTTCCGCGATGGGAAACGTCCGTTCTGCTCTTGGAATAAGCTGGAGCATCGCCCATTCGCTGGTCCCGATGTTTGTTGAACTTTTCGTATGGTTTGAGCTTTCTAGGCAATGTCGCTTGCGTTGTTCATGAATTTGAGGTGAAACTGGAAGTCGGCACTTGAGCCCACCGATTGAATTTGATTGCGATTCGTATCTAGCTGAGCAAGTTTTCTTTTTTTTTTTAATCATGAACTGAATCTCGAGCGAATCCATCCACTCTCGGGTCGAAAAGGCTCGGTCGCCAGCTGTTCGGCGAACGATTTTGGGACGTGCCTGACGTGTTCTCGTTCCTTTCGCTTCTTTTTAGGAGCTCTTCCTGCTGCTACAGATGGATGCTCGTGGATGCAGGGCTCTTCCATTCATCGCCAGACCGGCGGCACCAGATGGAGGCTGAAACCGGTTTACTCGATATTCCCTACCAAGCCCGCCCAAGTTTCCTCCGTGCAGGACCTTTTCGATTTCATTTGCTCGGGTCCTCTCTTTGACAAGTTGGGTCTGAACCCGGAAAAGGTGGCCGAGTCCCTCGATAAATGGTTGGCCTATGGCTTACAACTCAGTCGGTTGTTTCAGCTCAATGAGCTCTACCTCACAGTTCCCCAAAAGGCTAGGTTCTATCACTACTATATTCCCGTCTTTCTGTGGTGTGAAGATCAGATTGCTCAGCACTACTCCAAGTTCAAGGAGGGGGAAGATATCCCACCTCTCGTGGTAGGTGCCATTTTGTTGTATTACCCTAAAATTCCTCGAGGCAAGAAGTCGAAGGACGGAGGACATTTGAGGAAACTTTTAGTTCTTTAGGGTCGCTGATTTCAATACTTCATGACGTTGATCCTGATGATAAACAATGACGTCAAGAATAGGGCTGATGTGGCTATCTCTGATTAATCTCTTTTTAAGAAGCAATCGACGATGTACCTGCCTAGGAGGATTCATCTAGTTGACTAGGCTCGATACAGTAATGGCCTTGTTTGTTGGTTGGTTTGTGCGAGTAAACAACAACTTTTTATCCTCGCGCAGATTGGTTTTAGTGCTCCCCAAGGTTGTGGCAAGACAACACTAGTTTTTGCCCTTGACTATCTTTTCAAGGTCACTGGCAGGTGGGATTAATAGCAAGAAGCTTAAGTTTGCTTAAATTTAGCGTATGAAGATTCTGATATACTAATCTAATGTCAGGAAATGCGCAACGTTATCGATAGATGATTTTTATTTGACAGCAGAGGGTCAGGTACTACTATCTGAGTGCAGCATTGCCTCTTCTTGATTACTTTCCATTATCAAACTGATTCTGTTCAATCTGCAGGCTAAACTGAGGGAAGAAAATCCCGGAAATGCACTTCTAGAGGTAATGATAACTTCTAAATCTAAATCTTAACTGCAGGAGTGAGGTTTATTCCTGTCCCCTACTTGTGCCCTCATCCCCATTTTCATCTCTTTACTTTTGTACCCAGTTGCGTGGAAATGCAGGAAGCCATGATCTTCAATTCTCTGTCGAAACACTCACTGCTGTGACCAATTTGACTAAGGAAGGTGGAATCTATCACCTTTATTTCACTTTTGCACATCCTGCAAGTCCATTATTAATTCTTATTGCCCCAATTTTTTAGGCATGAAGATGAAGCTACCTCGATATGATAAAGTGAGCCAACAACTCAAAACTTTTTATCTCAATGATTCAATAAAATTCACCAATGCCGAGTTCTCCTCCCTTGTAGTCTGCTTACAATGGAAAGGGTGACAGAGCTGATCCATCCACTTGGCCAGAAGTGGAAGGGCCATTAACGGTAAGAAATTTCTCGGCAAAAATGCAGCAGCAAGATGGTGAGAGGATGAACTTGCACTAGTTGAAAACTCGATTGTGTATGTCTTTTATAACCGGTAGAAGGGGCATGGACTATAGAGATGTTAAAGTCGCAATGACTTGGTAGTATAAATACTGGCAACTACGAGGCGAGCAGAATTGGTGGGGTTATATAGTGGGTTATCCTCTCTCAGGAGATGCCTGACGAAAGGTTGACTCAGCTGTGGGCATGGCTATGATCTTTTGTGGATTTGATCACCTCTTGCAGATTTGAATTTCGATTTTCTTTTATTCCATCAATGATGTTATGACTTCCGCTTGTCTTCTAGGCTGTTTTGTTTGAAGGTTGGATGCTTGGATTCAAACCCTTGCCAGCAGATGTAGTCAAAGCTGTTGATCCACAGGTTGGAACTCAAAGAATCTTGCAGATGTGTGGCTGACTTTTTTCGTCATTGGACTAATACCTTCTGTGTCTGTTATACAGCTAGAGACTGTAAACAAGAATCTTGAAGCTTATTATGATGCGTGGGACAAATTCGTCAAGGCATGGATAATCATCAAGATTCAGGACCCCAGTTGGGTCTACCAATGGCGCTTGCAGGTTGGCATCTCACCTTCCCTATGACCACATTATGTTCTATCAAATTATAGAATCCCATCTGCAAATTCACCGTGTCACTTATTTTCTCTGTCATGATTTTAACTGTGTACAAAACGTCTTGGTGAAATTTTTTCAGGCAGAAATTGCCATGAGAGAGGCCGGAAATCCGGGGATGTCTGATGAGGAGGTGCTTTCCTGTTCATCAGTCTTTGACATGCTCTGGTGTTAGTTGTACACGCAGCAGCCATCTGATTTTTGAATTCTGAGAGTAGAAGTTTTGCATTTTGTAGGTCAAAGATTTTGTCTCCCGTTACCTCCCAGGATACAAGGCTTATCTCTCGACACTCTACTCTGAAGGACCAAAGGGGTCAGACCCTGAGCATCTCCTTGTCATCGAAATTGATGAGGGGAGAAACCCGTTATAGGTAGCTAGAGGTGACTGGAACTATCAATGAGATTCTGCTGAGAATTTTCTTTTTTTTCCTGATTGTTGGGCCCGTTGCATGGTCAGTTTTGTTTTCATAACATGCCATCTTCTGTTGTTAGTCATTGTAAATTGTATATTCTATATGAAATTTTGACATGTAAATAAACTCTCTGTCATTCAGCTCGAGATGTATTGGCAGCTTATCAGGAATTGCCTTCAATCGCTTATGTGATCATAAACCTCATTCGTGGTGATCGAAAATTGGAACATCTCGACGAATCTGAAACGTAAGAGAAAGGAACTCTGGGAGGAATATCAAACAAACACGTTCATGTTATTACAGACCTCGAATCACGCACCCTTCAATTTGGTAAACCCATTTACATGACCAATTATTGGATAATGAAATCTCCAAACGACTGCACACAGAAGAAATATGGTCTTTTCAAACATTATTGTCTTTCCATAATGAAGGAACAATTCTTGGTTAAACTAGCAGCAACAGCAGATAGCCTCCAAGCAGCACTCGCAAGTCTCAAAGCAGCAACAGCAGCAGCACAGCGTGAACAAACTGCACGACCAAATTGGCTCGACTACATAAATTCAGGAGAGCAGGAGGGAGAGTAATATGACTATGATGCATTGGCAAAAACACAAAACTATGAATTCTCAGGATCTCCAAGTCTTAGTTTGTCCCTGGAGGAAATCCACAGGGGAATTTCATGCAAAACCGAACAGCAGCAAAAGAAAGAAAGAAAGAAAGAAAATAAGCAGCAGAAGAAAGAAAATAACGGCTGCTTATACCGACTGTGCGAGCCAAACGGGCATGGCTTCTCTCTGCACTGCTAGAACCGTGCCAAGCACTGTCGTGTTTATGGCTGACTATTCGATTTTGATGAGCCCTATTCGTGGGATTCGCATGAAGCTATTCACAAAGATAACCACAAAAGCAACTCTTTCGCATGTTCGGCTAAAAATAGAGGTGATTTCCGTCCTTTCTCTTGCTATGTTGTTAGTTTCTATAGGTAAATCCTTTGGCTATTTTCCGCTACCGAGGAAAGACTTGAGTAACCGTCAGAAACCTCGAAAAACTATAGAGAGCAGGAATAATAGAGAAAGAGATGTGAACGGACCATGCATATAGGCAGCCCTTCTCCTCGTTACGCTTCTGAACATGATCGAAGTACGACATCTCCTGAGCATCCGGTGCGCCCTCCATGATTGTTGCCAAGTCCGAGAGTGGGCAGAGAACGAAACTCGGAGAAATGATGAACTGGCTCCTGTTCTATCAGAGCAGCTTTATATGCTGCAGAACAGAGTCGATACCTTTTCTCCTGCTGCCGACGAAACAGAGTCGTTCCTTTCAAGGATTAGATGCAGACCGCACCTGCACCGAATGATTCCATTCATCGTGATCGTAAGGGGGGGGAGTAGGAATGGCTCATGGGTCCCTTTCCATCTGCCCCACCACTTGGATTGATGCTTCCAACTAACAGTCATGGGCATTTCGACATTGCCGCCCCCCAGAAAGGTGCTTACAGAGAGACACCTGTCCGCTCGGCAGCCCGATCCAATCCATGTGAGGTTATGTTGATATCCACGGAGGAGACACGTGATCATAGCATGAGAGATGCCGGGCTCGGATCATCACGACGCGACTACCGCGACCATCGATCGGTGTGGGGGGCACTCGAGACCCGCGATGGAAGGCCGAGATGCAAGTGCAACCACCACATATGGGACCATTGCGTGCATCACATGAAAAGGTGTCTAAAGAGTTTCTTATCGATACGTGGTTTGACCTTTTCTTTCGTTTTTTCTTTTCCCTTTATTATTCCTTTTTTTTAAGGCATTCCCCCTTGAGAAGTTCAGAAACAATTAGCCGGTAACAAATACACTAATGATTGAAGGCTGCCCGTGACCAACTGCCAATAACTTAAATCCTTATCCATCGCTATACCGCAAACATTTACTCAATTTCAGCATCTACTGTCGAGTTTCAGCTTCAGGGGGACCAACAACACTGGCATTGTCCGACCCCACATCACAGACATCGCGCTAAATTAGTCGGTCCTCAATGAAATGGCAAGATCACATTGGACAGATACAGCTAGCTCAGCCCGTCGACGCAGAGCAAATGCATTGATAGACCTTGAAAGCATATTTGCAGGATCAAAAGAGAAGAAATAGCTGAAACTATCGGCAAAATTCAGAGTAGTTACAAGATGGAGTATATTAGTCTATCCATTTCTGAGGCAAAATGGTACCAGAGACGGGCAAATTGTTGATAGTGACTGCCAAATCAACGAGAGGAACAACATTAAACGGTCATCATTCCTACTTTCCCTGAATGTGACCATCCTTGAGCTTGAACTTGGTCCAAAAGCAAAGGAAAAGAAGGAAAGTTTCAGCTTCAGCTGAACTATAGGGATCAGGATGACCAAAAAGGAAACAAACATGCAATCATGATCCCTTATATCTGAACCGAGCATCAGGACTAAGTTTTGTTAACCGTGTAAAGTGGATTGCTGTCAAATGGTTGGTAATTGACCAAAACATTGATGCTCTGAGTTTATATCATGAACTCGACAGACGTACCAACTTTGAGAAAAATATATAAAGCATTGACTTTTGATTAATATCCATCTAGGCAGGCATGAATGCTTAAGCATCAACATATCCCACAGCGATAAGGAAGAGTACGTTCCGGGAAAATTGATCACAAGAAGAGAGAGAACAACGCCATTCCCGGTCTAATGAAGTAATAACTTCGGGAGAGACTAGAAAAAGCAATGAAAAGCAACATCTAACTTCTGCAGCAACATTTTTCGGCAAGCCAAGGAGGATTGAGAATGATTAATAAAGAGAATGCTCACAGAATGCAAGCACGAAGACAGATCTTTACGATATATTGGAATTTTACAGCTTCAACTTTACTAAAGTAGTAGGAGAACTTTCATACACGGGTAATCAAACATGTCTAGTTTGTCTTGGGCAATCGACAGACCACATAGGAAAAGGGGAGCCAAAATATGCAGCGAAAAGCATTATGACAATATCTGTAGCTCTACATAAGCAGAGCTAGGCATCACTTGCAAAATTAGGTGAGTCGCAAGTGGCAAAAATGTTAATCATCTGCCAAGCGAGAGGGGGAAGATGCATCTGTTGTTAGCAAAAACCATCACAAGTCATAAATTTCTCATCGAATACTGAAATCATCTTAAGATTTATTGAATAGTTATATAAATGCTATCACATCACACTCATCTACTACAATTAAAAAATTGTAGATACTTAAGAACATCTAAAGTGTGGCATATGCCAGCAACACTCCACATTAGTAATTGCTAACAGAATTAGCATCTTCAGGCCAGAATGAAATAAAAAATTTATCAAGTAATGAGAATGAAGCATCATCACGACCTTGACTAATCATAGTAAATTAATCTTAGTACACAGCTATTCGACTTTGGCTTTGGCCTCCTTCTGATACTCTTCCGACTCTTTGGTCCATAAATCTCCAAACTCGCAGTTCTTCCAAGCTTCGAACCACGGACCTCCAAGGGTGTAATGTATGGCTTTAGGGAACGTACTGGGATCATTTTCGACAACCTTGTTATGCCCCACAAGGAAATTCCACACAAACGGTATCGAGCCAATCTCATCGTCATCAAGCCACTGAAACCTGTGCAAATAAGCACCTGTCTGGGTATTCACCACCTCAGGTGTCAACACCTTGTTTTTGGGATGTCCACAATTATACAATACCATTGAAGACCAGTTTTTCCTGGGATAGACCGTTTGCACGGCTCCATCCATCTTTGTGGTTTCTTTAGGCGTATAATCATGTTGAACACACATTACAGCATATTTATCATCCACCAGTCCCCTCAATTCTTTGATGTCCCCTAAATAGAGAAAATCACAGTCCACAAACATTGCCCAACCATCGTAATTAGCCAGATGTGGAGTCAAGAACCGACTGAATGAGAACTCAGTGCTCTCGAGCTTCCCCCTCTCCCGCCAATACAAGCCATTCTTCCTCAATTCAGATTGCTTGATGGGGTTAATCTCAAGAGGAATCGATGATCTCTTCAGAATAGAGTAGCAGCAGACCTCATAAGCAAGGTCCTCGCGTGGATCGTACCCGATGAAGATCTTGAAGGGCTTCTCCAGTGAATTGTTGATAGTAGCACCATTAGCAACGCTGTTCGTCATCTCCCTGGAGATTTCCTCAACTATTTGGAGCCTTTTGGACGGGATCCAAGATTTCCAGCTTGCCGATTAACAGACAGTGCCGTGAACAAAAAAGAGATCTAGATGGGTAGAAATTCCTGCATCAGCAAAGGAAAACGATGAAGCAAACGATAATGCACCTAAATTTGCAAGTCAAGTGCTTGTATTTGCGGAACACCCGCCACAAGATCAGAGATCAGAAACCGAAAAGGCACAACGCTAGAAACTAAACGGTTCAATCCACGGTCGACAAAACGGACCAGGAAAGAACAGAAACATTGCTTCACACATTAGTTTCACCAAATTATGCTGCATATCCCGATTTGCACCTCCTGATTGCACATTTCGACATGCTTAATGTTCCCTACGTTAAATCCCACAAACTTTTTCGGTTAATATCTAAAGAAAAAACCGAATGGACATCCGGATTCTTGCCCAGAATCGGAATGGCCTCGGCCCGCAACAGCGCCATCGCAACCCAGAAACCAAAACGCACACCCAACGCCCAAATGCAGCTTTTTTCCTCAGAAAGCACAGATTCGACGCGTACCCAGAATCGGGAAAAGAGCCGAAATTCCCGGGGGGCGCAAGAAGGATCGAGCACGTCCCCCTTGGCGCCGCTGCTGCTCAGGCGAGTATCTTGGCATTGCAGATCCAGCGCAAGAGGAAGAAGAAGAAGAAGAAGAAGAATGTACCTGGGAAGACTACGGCGGCGGCGGAGCAGATCGAGAGCGAAACGAGCGGGGGAGTCGCTTCTTCTTCTTCTTGCTTCTCGTTTCTTCTTCGTTTCTTCTTCGTTTGCTTCTTCGCTGCTTCTACCGCGATTCTCGTGGGGGGGTATTTATGAGATAGGGCAGATGGGGGGGTGACGACCGTTGGTTTGAAACGTACGGCTCGAAGATAATTGCGGATTGAAATCGCACGGGGGCCGAACACATGTCCCCCCGCATTTTGTTTTTAGGGAAATAATATCATTTTCGGGATATTATTCCCTTAATATATAATCGCGTTTTGGGTAATTCCACAGATATCGTATTAAATGCGAATATACATATACTTTATGTATTTGATTGTTTGGGTTTCTCTTACGACATATATGTATCTATATAAAGGAGGGTCTTTTAAAAGACACGGCGAATCGACTCAACGTGAATTTTATGAATTCCGGTGTTTTTTTTTATACGCAAAAAGCTATAAGATATTTCGTTATTTCTATGAAAAAATAATATCGTGAAACGAATGGGGTGGGATAATCATAACAGCATAATTATCAAATACTCGCCATGGCAAAATTGTGGATAAAAAACAGGGTATGCTATGGCAAGGCTCGGTGCTTCGATCGGCGGGAGAGAAGATTGGATTAGAAAGAAAACGAAAGCGGATAATAAATTTGGAATCGAGAAGAGAGAAGCTAAGGATTCGGAACGCCGAACGCTTTTAAAAACGCGACGTTCGAAGTCACGTGCTTAATCGCTCGAACGATCTTTTCAATACTCCGTCTTTTCGCATCGAGTACTGCACATTTGCCTTTTGGGAGTCCATCGTCGAGTTTAGGTTTTCTCTCAATAAAATGATTAACCCGGGACTCATTCGATGCAATCGATAATGACTCTAATTACGAAACTCAATAAATCTCTCTCGATGTTGATGAACCCGTAATTTTATCATAATAATAAATTCGAAGGTGTTAATTATAGCCTAATCGAAAAGCGTTCAAATTTCCCCGTTCAAATAGCTCTCCATCGCTTTGAACTTAATTCACCTTTTTTCCACTTTCAAAACGCTGATGATTTTGCACATTGGATGATAGGAACCCACGGACTTTTTTTTCCGTGGCCGCAAACCATTGACACCCTGGCGCCGCGTGCGGTGGAGCGTCTGTCGGTGGCAAATTGATGCCCTTGACTCGGAGCCATGACAAGACACCCCACACTTAAAAGCTAGCTAAGAGGGCTCCCTCCAACTTTACAAAAATGGATACACTTTTGATAAATTGATCATAAAAAATTTCAAATCAATACACCTGCGATAATTTTACCCTCCATTAGTTTCCTTTAAATTTTACAGTCAAATTTTTAAGTTGGATGACACGTGCCAGTTGATGGGTATATCGGTTTGGGGTTTTACATGTGTACCGATTTGTAATTTTCTGTGGTATTATTCTAATTTAAGGGAGGGTAAATTTGTCACAAGTGTACCGGTTTGGGGTTTTTTGTGGTAAAAAAATTAGTTTGGGGTAAATTTGTCACAGATAGTATTAACCCTACAAAAAAAAAATCCCAAATAGGGAGAAAATTGTCCAAAAAGTCTTGAACCTATTGCACTTTTGTCAATTTAGTCATAAACCTTTTAATTGTGCTAATTGAATTCTAAGCTTTTTGCCAATCGAGTCCATCGGGAGAATTTTGACAGGAAATCGCCGATGTGGATGCCAGCTATCCTACGAGGCGCTGTCAGCGCCGATGTTGATAATTTTTAATAATATTTTAATATTTTTTCGGATTTTATTTATTTATTCCTTTTCTCTTCTTTCTCTCTCTCTCTTTTTTTTTTGTCTGTCCTTTTTCCTTTGGCCGGCGAGGTCGACCTCGCGGTCTCTAGTGAAGCTCACCCCCGCCAGCCACTAGCGAGGACAAGCCTTGCTTGCCCCCTCGACCTCGCTCAACATGGTGAGGCCGACCTCCCTGTTGCTGGGGAGATGGTACTGGTCACGGCGGTTGTAGGGGTTGCGACGATGTAGGCCGGTCTGGCGTCGTCTCGGCCAGGTGGGTTGGAGTAGCAGATCACGGCTAGTCGGGGTGAGGTCGAGCCTCGCCTCTTGTGTAATTGTACCCAGCAGAAGAAGAGTAGGGCTTCCCTTTCTATTACCCAATACCCAGCAAAACATGACCCATGACCCTGAGGCCCAACAGGCCCACCTCATCTGCAATGGGCCGAAACCTGTCCCTAAAACTCAGCCTTCAAACGAGGCCCGTCGTTAGAAGTTCTGCTCATTGGGGCTCAGCAAATTTGGGTGTTGCAATGACTTTTGTTCTTACTTTCTTGACATCTTGCTTTCAATATCTGAAACTTTTACTTAGAAGATACATGCATCGCCAGTGTAGCCACAAAAAAAAAAAAAAGTTTTACACAGGTGGCATCGTCCACCTTTGATTTGAAAAGTATAACCACCCACTCTTTTAAATTAATGGCGTATTAGATCGCTTGTGTAAAACTTTATTTACACTGGAGATGAATGTTATAGTTGCTCATAACATAATGCGTGCACATTTATTTTTCTTGCAATATGTGAAACTTCGCCACTTTTTCATTCTCTCGTACTTTGAAACTATGACTTCGAGTTGATTACTTGTGTGACTCTAAATGATTGCATGAAACACCAGGATTTTTCAGAAGACCCATTTATCTAGAAGCCGTACTCTTTATTGCACTTCTCACTAACATACCTAGTTGGCCATTGATTCACTCAAAAGCACGAGCAAATAGATTAACTGCTAATTCGTCGATATAGCTACATAGACACGAAAGGAAGTTAAACAAGTGCCATGCACCGTATAGTCATGTGCTATTGATCAAATTAGTGGAACCAGTTTTTGGTAATTCAAAAGATAAATTCTTCATATTCGACAGTACAATCCTCTCTTTTTTTTTTTTTTTATCAAAAGTTGATTAACTTGCTTCCCCACATCGCCAGTACACGACCGTGCTTTCCAACCAGATTGACCTAACTCCCTTCATTCGCGGTGGAAGCTTCATGGTACCTTTCATTGTCAGCTTAAAATGGCGAAACAGTAGAGCAGCACTTCCACTAACGTTGCTGCCACTCTCTTGCTAAACTGGAAAGGCACACCTCATGTGCTCAGAGAGAGAGAGAGAGAGAGAGAGAGAGAGAGAGAGAGAGAGAGAGAGAGAGAGAGAGAGAGATGGTCATGGTGATCGTCCCGAATGCGTTCTTGAGTTGGATGTCTGACCATATAGTGCCTTTTTGCTAGATCTGGCAAGACATGGACACGATCCCCTTGCTTCAAGTCATCCTCACTTTGATCTTCGAAACCCATTTGACGAGACATCAGAAAAGTTTTCCCTCGTTGATGAGCTTTCGGTGACCGCTTGGCATGCATTTTTCTTAAGCGTATGCGAGCGTGAGAGGCCTCTGTAAATTCACGGATGCAATCATGACATGATTGCTTGGAAGTGCACTGATGGCTATGCACGGATCTTATGATTCTTGTGCTTTTTCATGCACCTAAGAAATCAAATTACAAGTCCTATAATCTCTAAAATCTTCTAAGCTTAATTTGGTGCTTTTTTCTTTTTAGGAATTTTAGTCTTTCATAGTTTCTAAAACACCCCCCCTCCCCCTCCAAAAAAATAAAATTTCTTGTCTCATGAGGAAAAGGTTTTCTTAAACAAAAAATTATCGATCCTATGACACCGTGTAGACCTAGTTCCTTATTGAAATTAAATTTCAAAAAGTGTGCCAAGTGGGATGATGTATGTGTAAAAGCAAAAAAGCTTTTCACCTCATTGTGAACTAAACACGTGGTTTGAATCAATAAATTACGAGTTACGTATTTTGGTGTGTCATACGTAGGTTATCTCATAATCAAATTAGAAAAATTAATTTATAAGTAAACAATCTTTAGAATGCATCAAATTGGAAATAAAAATATACATAACATGCTTGGATGGTGTCTCATAACTCAATCGTCTCCAGGAAATCCGATCTATTACGTCATACCTCATGAAATACGATTCATCATGCACGAAGTGAACTAAGTGTGATCTCATTCAAGAAACAAAAACCTATTTAATAAGCTTGCTCAATATTAAAGACGCATGTAGTGATTCAACCAGATCTACGTACTTTGAACAAGATGAAATGTGAAAATGCCTACTGAAGTCTCTACATGCATGTAAAGCTCCTAGCTAATATGTCATATGCAATTCAGGGACATGTTCATGCTGTGCCCACCGTAGAATAATTAGTATATGATTAAGCATATTTGTGAAAACTCAAAGCCATTTCCAGAGCCGAACTCACCAGCTTTCAAAAGGAATCTCTGCAAGTTGAAAAGTATCAACTTGAACTCATCGTTTCAAATGGCTCAGTTCCAGTTGTATTTTTCACTGCTTGTGTTTCAACTATCCTTAACCCTAAATGCCATTTTCTACGAGACAATCAGAAGCTGTAGCGCCATGGATATGTGGAGCCTATTAAGTATTAACCATATACATGATATAACGGAGACGATATATCAATTATTCAGCACACAGATAATCATCTTTGAACAGACAACAACAACTGAAAGCATCCATCTAAGTGATGTACTGCTAGTTAAGCATTCCCATGTAAGGGAGTTGTCCTTAATTCGACGAGTATTCGGCTATTCCATTAACTAATCAAGACCATGTTCTAATCTGAAGACACAACGAAGATGAGAGGAATCATGTCAAGTTCCTCCATATCACAAAAGTGTTGCTTGTTCTCATCAGTTATCGTCTTTCAAGGTGCCTTTGAGGAAGTCCCTGGTCTGCAGTATTGCAATGTCCTTGGCTTCTGATTTCTTCATTATCCTCAGCCTTCTGCACGACTCCATGAACATCCTGGTATAGCAGGACAGGCATGGATTTCGTTATAACGATGAACACGCGACCACAACGACGATGCTGACTGCAAACAACACTAGACATGACGACATCGATGAACTACATACAGATGTGCGCTGTAACTGTTCCTTAGTTTGATATTTTTTACTACTTTCCACTGACTAATTTCCAAGGGTTTCAGAAACCCAAAAACCTAATTATCAACTTGCTCTAGTCATGAACAGATCAATCGGTGCGATTTATGCATGTCCCATTTCTACAAATGATCTCTGCAATAAGAAATCAAAGACTGGGAATGAAGGAAAGAATCATCATGTGGGATGCCCTCGTGATGATGCCATGTCTTGACCAGTTCTGGCCATCGAGGACAGTTTTGTCAACTTCCCGACACCATAATGGGGGAATTGCCCATGTCGGCCACATTAGCTTTTGAGGGAGCCAGTGTCAAATGCCGAAATTATTTCGTTGACATTTATGCCAATGACTTAAAGGTCAAAAAATAAAGAAAAAAAGTTTATAAATCCTCTGTACGATTCGAGACATCTTTCACTTTTTTCCGGGTCGCTAGTTCTTCTATTTCTCCAAGTGAAATCGACCTAGAGGTTGTGCATAAGTCATGGCCGGCTCCACCTAATTTTTCTCATTAGAGAAATAATAACCATGTGTTCTAAAAATAAGAGCATTAGCTATAGTGGATCTAAAGGGTTACTTGCTTAATTCGATCTTAATTTGACTTTAGTAAAAGTTCGAACATTGAACATTATTGCCAATAACAAATCGCCTCAGGAATTTCTTCTGTATATTAACTAAGCTAGCAGGGACAAAATCGTGAGGAGAACTAGACAGTGCATGAAGGAATTTAAGTTAATCCGCGATCATCCAAATAAAATGAATTCTGAATCCTTTAAAGTTCACAAGCCTAGGGTTTGCTGTCTCTGCAGATCCAAATGGTCCAAATTAAGTTGCTAAATTTGGTGCTCTCATTCAATCAATTCCCGGGTTCTCATTGAATCAATTTTAATCATATATAGCTGCAATCCAAAATAAATGGAAATCTTTTGAAGGAGATCTAGTACTATGATGATCTAAACTTTCATGTGTTCATCAAATAAAGCGAGATCTTCACCAGGAACTAATTCTTTTCACGCATCTCTTACGAAAATGGCTCTAATGCGAAAACCAGACCTATTTCCTTTGCAATTAGGGAGCCATATAGTATAACCGCATATGCTTTTGTCTCTCTGCACGCATGGAAGAGTATTGACTTGTGCATGGTTTCAATTCGAATACCTATGCAGTTGAACATATATATATGTATGTATATGTATATATATATATATATATATATATATATATATATATATATATATTATATGATGCCTAGAACATAAGAAAAAAGAATTACTTTATTCTATGCATCAATATAATTCACATAATTATGTTAATTAATGTAAAAGGGGGATGGTTAGAGGGACTTACTCCCAAGGGACATCTCCCACAAGCATCCAATCTCCATCCTTGTCTTCATAGATGAGCTTGTATTCAGCTCCTTCCCCTTCATTAAAAGCCTCACCTACATATCAACAGGTACATTTATAACACTTGATAGGCATTTAATGGACTGATTAGTTAATTAATTAATTATGCTCTTGTTTTTGTTTCCTTCATTTTTGGGCTTCTGGTGATTTTCGTTTTCACAGCTTTCAATCTATGAAATGGCCTGAAAGAATACCTTTGTGATCTCTAAATTAGCCTAAGGTATATTGGTATACACGGAAATTGAAAATTGCCCACAGTGCTCGTACATGATTCTTCCAAGAACATGTGTGCATGGTCATCTTTCCTATCATCTTAGGGTAACAATACAATATGAAGCTCCAAACAAATGCTAACTTAATCAGCAAATTGAAAGCTACCAGGGAGAAAATTTAGAGAGAGAGAGAGAGATTGGGTTTGAAACTACTCACCAATGCCATGGCAACCAAAGAGCTTCTCCAAAGAAAATGCAAGATCAGAGTATCCCTTTTGCATGCTCAAGTCAATCTTCCTTAGGTAAAGCGCTCCGTCCATGCTCACCTTCACGTAAGCTTTTGAACCCGCCGTCGCCTCGGCCCCGTCTCCCTTCTCCTTATTGAAACTATACCTCTGCCGGTACGAGCACACCGGCGGCCACCCCACCACCTGGTTCTTCGCTGGGGCCTTCGGCTCCCTGGTGGACCCCTTCCCCTCCACGGTGGAGATCTCCGAGAACACCCTCTTGTTCGAGCTTGGCTTCGCCGCACCCCCCGGGAGGCCCAACCTGAGCTCCGTCGTGATCTCAAGCCCTACTACACCTTGTTTCTCCATTTGCACCACCTCCAAACAATCACGATGCCCTTGTTTTTCTCCTCCTCCTCCTCCTTCTTCTCAGTTTGGAGTCCCTTGCTTGATGAAGTCGACTAACTGGTGTATTTCTTTATTATGTGAAGACTTAGGTGATATGGAAAAATAAAGGGGTTAGTTTTTATACATGAAGAGGGAAGAGGGAGGACATAGTGGGAGCAATGACAGGTCAAGCGAGGGTTAACGGTCGGTCACATGAGAGGCAAAAGTGGGGTCTCCTAATTGCTGTGCTTTGTATGACCATTTAAGACCGGCACATATTATAAGTTGGGACAATGGGACAGATCCGAGGGTCGTCGATGCTCTAGGGTGATCTGGTGGGATCTCATCGTGGCCGTCTGATGAGGTGAATTGGGAACAAGCCATGTGAAGGTTCCTGATTGAGAGGGAGGGTCCTTGTTGATGACCTGCACTACACGTATTTGTGTACAATGTACATTTCCTATACAAATCGGACGAAAAAAAAGAAGTATAATGAATTACGCCCTTAGTTGATACATGGGGTTTTGGAACATTCATTATGATGTTATGTAAAGTATTTGATACGTTTTTATGTGCATGCAGTGTACACGGTCATCACATCATTGTATTCCTCCTCCACTTGTATGTAATTGCATGCTCATCATTTTTGTTCAGCAGAGCTAGCCATGCACCAAAGTCATGATGTAGTGAAGCAATGCACATGGGATTCCATCAGTGAAAGTAAATGGAGACATTCTCGGATGCATCGCGTGCGTGTGAGTCCGGTGCATCATAGCCTTTAGATTATGGGGGTTTTGTATAGGAGCTACCAACCATCAATGACTGTCGCGACCGACCTCCCCGCTCTTTTTTTCATCGACATGCAAAAGAGGGGTTTCGCCTGGTACGTGCTAAGTCTAGGTTCGGGACTTAACTCGGGCTCTCCCAAGCCCATACCATATCGCGACTTAGGGTTTAAGTATTTAACATGCAAGTGGTTTATATCAAGGAGTCGCCACTAATCGATTTGGGATGGGTTGATTAGAAACCCAAATAAGGTGATAAGGTGACTTAGGGATATTCGCAGCAAAGCTAATTTCTGCTTTTAAGGGTCTTTGATGGATGTGGGTGCGACTACTGTCGAGGTTCCATGGTTGTTAGGATCAGCATCGACGCCATTTTGTCATATGCAAAGTCCTTTCCAGTTAGACTTGTTACCATGAGTGTTCTTTACTCAATTTTGTCCTATGTAAAAGGAAAATATATGTCATTTCTATGCTAAAGTGGATGAACTTTAGGAACGAAATACACCCTTTTTGATGGACTGGGAGATCGCATGCCCCCTAGTCTACTCTTCCAATTAAGCACTTCTTCGTCATGTTTCATTCGAGAGGTCCCAACATTAGTGCTCTATCTGGCTTGCTAGCACGTCAGAGTCTAGCATGTTCCCCAGTTCATTATCTGCAAAAGAAAAGGGATGGAATGTCATTTCCACAATTTGTTAAGGAATAAGACATACCTTTTTTCTTTCAAAAGGGATAATCTTTTCTTGATCTACCCCCGACTTTTGTACGAAATGATGTTTCGCTCATCATGGTGTCAAGGAATGCTCAGCATTCTCTTTGACTCTCTGGAGCTGATATCACCCTCTGGTAGTAATGAGATTTGCCCCATGTTTCATTTGAAGGTTGGATGATCTTCGCTTGAACTGCCCCTACCAGATGAGTTGGTCCGCTAGCATCACCAGGGTCTGATGTACTCTTCAGTTTGTGTCATTTTCAAATATCCCCTTTGTAATAACAAATCAAAAAGGAATATGCTCTGAGACACGAAGTGAACGAGTTAGAAAAACAAACAGGGTTATGAACATGCACGCTTTTCCACCACCGTTCTTTTTTTGGCCCTTTTGAAAAATGATAAAACGTTTATTTTATTTTCAAAAGCTTAGAAACAAGGAAGCATGAGAAAGCCCGGGCCTCAGAACACTTTCCTTTACATGGCTGGATATCATCAACGGGCCGGTTTGGGATACTTCCTCAAGTCCTCAAAACAAAACATTTGTAATTCTTTTGAATAATTCAGGCGAATTACATTTGTTAGAATGGAAATTGCAATACTAAAATTCCAAGCATAATTAAAAATTCAGAAAACTGGGAATCTTAGAAAACAGCTGAGACTTTAGAAAGCAAGAAAAGCTCCCACATAGGGGAGGATTCAAACTATTAAATATGCCTCTATTCTAAGGGAGAAAAATTGAGTCTTCAGTTTACTCAATGACGACATCCGCGCCTTCTGCTTGATTGGGTGGTGCGTTGCGGAATGAAAACATCTTTGCATCCAATAATTTCTGGACTTTATTTTTCAAGACAACACAGTCATTGACGGAATGTCCTATTTCACCCAAATGATAGTCACATGCCTTGGAGGGATCGTAGTTGGGGAAACGCTCAGGATTTTCACACTTTGGCTCTTTAGCAAGTAACCTCTTTTCCAGTAGAATAGGCAGGATCTGAGACATAGGCAAAGGGAGTGGTGTGAACTGCTTTTTGTTATTTCGCCTTTGGGGCGGCTTGCGGCTTGAGGCCGGTTGCTATCCACTGCTCATCTGAATCATTGGGGAAGGACGAACGGTTTGGGTGTATGCAACATCCGCATCTGTCAGGGGTTCTTTCTCCTTCTTCATGCCGAGTTTCTTGCTTGTGGAAGTGGGGTCTGTAAACCACCCCTCACGCAATCCCATTTTGATTCGTTCGCCCACAGGAACAAAACGATTAAGGGATTCAGCAGTGGTACCAACCAGGCGGTGTCTGTATTCATATGGAAGAGACTTTATGAACAACTTTACTTGTTCATGATCAGTGAGTTGTGGGGTAACCTGGGCGGCCAAGTTTCTCCATCTAGTGGCATACTCTTTGAAGGACTCACTCTTCTTCTTCTCAGCGCGTTCCAGATCGTCACGAGTAAAGGTGACGTCGAGGTTGAATTGATACTGCTTGAGGAATGCATCAGCGGCATCATCCCAAGACTTAAAAGTATCCACATCTTTCGACATATACCATGTCAAGGCTGGCCCCGTCAAACTCGCTTGAAAGGTCTGAATCATGAGGGGTTCGTTGTCAACGTACTGGGTCATCCGCACATGATACATGTGCAAATGATGTCTGGGGCATGAGGTACCGTCATACTTTTCGAATTCCGGCATCTTGAATTTTTCTGGTACTTTGACCCGTTTGTATATAGACAGGTCAAGTGGGACAGCATGTTGCGGGCCTTGTAGTTGTTTAAGCATCTCCTCGACTTTTGTAAGGCGTTTGTCATGTTCTGTCATTGGTACAGCTTCAAGTTCAGGCTTCCTGACAGCAAGGGGAAGCGGATCGTCCTTTAGCTGAGGCATTTTGCTGTCGCTGGCGGAGGCTTTGTCTTTTTCAGTAGACAGTGGTGGTAACACCACCTCCATTGCTGCAGGCGTGGGTGTGAGCTTGCCCTGAATGGATTCCACCTGGTTTGTGAGATTTTGGATCACGTTGAGGACCAACTTCATCTCGTCTTCCATGTTATTGAGACGGACGTTTTCTTCGGCCATTTTTTGTAACTACCTGTGAAAACGCTGATATGAATGAGTATAATGCCCAATAAAGAATCATTCTATCACCTAGTCATATTATTATTACATAATTTCTTTATTTGCAAAGAAAAAAATGAGAAAAAAGGTTTATATTAATATTACATTACAGGCGGCGTCCACGGGGTTCGAACCCCGGTTGCCTCGGACCGTTACGCCACATCCCCGGATGCCACTGGGCCGAAGGCCACGATGGTGTCATTAAGGGGCAAAAAAATTTATTTAAAGCATAAAAAACGGTCCGAGTTATACTAACATTAGTACAACCCATAAACATTTTTACAGGAGATAACCAAAACCCCTAAACATAAATAGAGGGAAATATAAAAGACAGGGGATTTTAACAAAAGGGGGCCCTTCCCGGATGCTCATTCCATAAATGATGGGGAAGCTACGGTCTCTCGGAGCCGCTTATTTTTATGGACAAGCTCCGCAATAAGCATATCCCTCGTATATAAACTGCAATCAAAGGGTGGCCTAACAGTAACAAATCAATTGAATAAGTAGGCTGTACAATAAACTGAGAAGTGATAGAATATATACCTTTCCTTGAACCATGGCAATCACAACAACATGCACATGAGGAGTGAGGTTCGATTTCTATCTAGACTGGCTCAGCAAAATGAAGTTAAAAGGGTGCCTGACCGTCGCAGTCTCGCGTTGGTGTCAAGTCCTTTTAACCTCGGCCAAATCGAAAGGAATATCTTATAGTCACGCGAATAGCGGCTAAAGATACTTCTTTACGATTTTTAGAAATAAATTTCGGGGAAAAGAAAGGCAACTTCTACATCGCGGGCTCGCGTTCGAGGTCGTATCTTTCTTAACACCATCCTAAAATGCCCCATTGCGGCTCAGGTCCCGCAGCGTGGTTGTGTGTGTAATAGTGTAGTGCTAAATCATTAAAGCATGCACAATAATTTATAAACAATCAATTTGAACCTGCAAGAACAAATAAGACCTTAATGTCAGTATTGTACCTGAAGTCCTTGCCGCCAAACAAAAATTATTTTGAACAGGATAAAAAATTTGGCCTAAGTCCACTTTTTTTTAAAAAAAACAAGTCCCCAGCGGAGTCGCAAGTCTGTCGCGACCGACCTCCCCGCTCTTTTTTTCGTCGACATGCAAAAGAGGGGTTTCGCCTGGTATATGCTAAGTCTAGGTTTGAGACTTAACTCGGGCTCTCCCAAGCCGATGCCATATCGCGACTTAGGATTTAAGTATTTAACATGCAAGTGGTTTATATCAAGGAGTCGCCACTAATTGATTGGGGTGGGTCGATTAGAAACCCAAATAAGGTGATGGGAGAATCACCCTATCCCTGCGAACCAGAGATTAACTGAGTTTGGGGACTTGGTTACACTAGTTGGATAACTAATGCCCTTTCGGTACCATTTTACCCTGTTCATTTCTGAAAACATTTGTCAGGCAATTTGGATTGGTTTTAGGACTTTTCTCCTAACATGTGAGGTGATCAAGCGAGTGCATAATCAGAAACGATTAGCAGTCAAAATAAACATGCAGCCTAAGG